CACGCAGAGAGGATTGCTCCTCCCCGCGCCCGCCGATGGTAGCAGTTGTACTTCCCACCTACGTTTGGGCTGACATCCCAGCCCTGAATTGCTCCTTATCTCCGTCCATACTGGTTTGTTTTTCCGGAGAACCACTTACTTGCGTCTTATGCCTACCGACAGGCACCTCCAACCATGGCTACTGATTTAAAGGGGTTGAACCAGTTGCCTTAGCTAGACTCTGCATTGCCCCGGGCAGGACAGGCGACTATGCATTACCCTGCTCGGGGTAGAGCAGTGACCATTGCCCAGCCGGCACCCTCGTGGAGGGTTCAGCTGGAGGATTTTCGCCAGCCTTGGACATCTTCTGGAAGCTCTAAGTGTCTAGTTTTTGATGGTGCTCGCATACTTACATGACATACATAACATGAATAAAATTTTGGACAATTTTTTCTTGTCTATCATTAGGGCAAGTGCTTGATCTGCTGAAAGGCGTTTTGAACTGCCATTAGAAAATTATTAAGCTTCCTTAATTATAGTCCCCGTGAACGCGGGTGGAAGCAATGACATCAATGCGATAGTCTTCGCCATTCAATGTTGCCTTGCATCATGAGCAAGTTACCTGGCTTTATCTCTAGAGCTTGAAAATTATCGATAAATGACAGTATCGATATTTTCGATACTTTATCATTATCGTATCGATAATATCGATGTTTTCAAGGAAAGCTAAGACAAATTAAACAAGAAAGGAAGCTAGCTTCGGCCAGCCGAAGCTTATATACCCTTGCAGATCATTCCTATTAATTAAGAAATCGCAAAAATGTTCAATTTTCTAATATTTCTCATTAATTTTCCGATCGTTCCTATGGCAGTTATATGATATAGTCGTCCGATTTTGATTAAATTAAAATTGAAATTCGGAAATATTTAAAAAGAGTCATATCCTAGAGTAGAAGACAATACAATAAAAACCAAAGAAGCTAGAATTTATTTCCTATTACTTTTCCATTAATTTTCCGATCATTTCTATGGCAGCTAAATGATATAGTCGTCCGATTTTGATTAAATTAAAATTGAAATTCGGAAATATTTAAAAAGAGTCATATCCTAGAGTAGAAGATAATACAATAAAAACCAAAGAAGCTAGAATTTATTTCCTATTTCTTTTCCATTAATTTTCCGATCGTTCCTATGGCAGCTATATGATATAGTAGTCCGATTTTTAAAATTATTAATTCGAAATTCAGAAATATTTAAAAAATAACATCCCCAAAAGTAGAAGGTAATATTTCAAAAAACACCGAAGCTAGAATTTTTTAAAGTTTTTTTTCCGATTGTTCCTATGGGAGCTATAAGATATAGTTGTCCGATCCGGTCGGCTCCGACATATATACTACCTGCAATAGAAAGAAGACTTTTGGGAAAGTTTCATCCCGATAGCTCAAAAACTGAGAGACTAGTTTGCGTAGAAACAGACAGACGGACAGACGGACAGATGGACAGACGGACAGACGGACAGACGGACAGACGGACATGGCTAGATCGACTCGTCTAGTGATGCTGATCAAGAATATATACACTTTATGGGGTCGGAAACGCCTCCTTCACTGCGTTGCAAACTTCTGACTGAAATCATAATACCCTCTGCAAGGGTATAAAAAGACAGTTTATTCATGTGTAGTTTCAATTTGGAGTGATCAATGTCATTGCCAAACACCGTCTCGCTGAGCGGTTTTTATGTTTTTCGACCAAACCTCGAAAAAGGCACCACGGCTTATTTCACTTATTTCTAAAAAAAAGGTCTTTGGGCAAAATAGGGGCATGATTTTATTTTAGATTCTGAATCAGAATTAATGCCTGTGAATGATGTATGTATGTATGTTCTGGTTGGATAGAATACGATAGAATAATAAACGTTTTTTTTTCACCAAAAAACAGACAAAAAAATTTTGGCAACAAAAAAATGTTCTTGTTTTTGAAAGTGGATAAAAAAATTGTCTAAAGTTTCAGGGAATAATAACTTTTGGCAGCTCCCACTAATCACGTTATGCAATTGATAAGACTAAACTTTGTCAACTGTTGCTCGCTTCCCAGTGCAAACTTGCTTACATTTCTAAAGACGAACTTTAAAAACCGTTATCTTCCAAAAAAGTTTTTTTGTTTTGTTTTGAGCCTGTTTTTGTAATAGTTAAACATTTCTAAAAGTGCTGCTTAAAGCTCATCGACTTCAAAAATAGTTCAACTTTTACTAAAGGTCCCCCCTACTATGCGGCGACATGTAAACAAAAATTAGGGTAATACTTTATATTAGCGGACTCACCCCGAAATTCGCGAAAAAACTATCCTCGAGGACCGCGATTTCTTAAGAATTTAAGTGCAAAACGACTTGGCGGTCAACCATGGTTCTCCTGTAATTGAATTTCCCGCTTTTGCGGGAAGGCTCCTTTCACGTCAAGCGCCTTTGTCTGACACCATTTTGGGAAGATTACAGACACTTTCTACAATATTAGTTACTGAGGCATTTATCCCATCCGGCCAACAGATACAATTTTCTTCATTATACCCTTGCAGAGGGAATTATAGTTTCAGTCAGAAATTCGCAACGCAGTGAAGGAGACTTTTTTACACATAAAGTATATACAAATTACACGTACTTACTCATAAGAAATGCTCAAATGCTTATGACCATTGATCAGCACCAATAGCCATGTCCGTCTGTCAGTTATGTCTGTCTGTCAGTTTCTATGCGTGCTAGTCTGTCAGTTTTAAAGCTACCGCGAAAAGTGTTCTTGTTATTGCATCTAGTACATATGTCGGAACGGGCCGGATCGGTCCACTATAACTTATGGCTCCCATAGGAATAATTAAAAAATTATTAGAAAAAACAATTGACAATTAGGAAATAGGCGTTTTCTTTTAAAAATTTTACAATTTAAAAACCAAATATTAGATAGGCAATAATTTATCCCTGGAACCGGACCGATCGATCGAGCATTGAACTAAAAGTATTTATTTTAACTGCAAGGGTATATAAGCTTCGGCTTGCCTTAGCATTTCATTTCTTGTTTTTACTTGAATAATTTTACCGCTCTTGCTCCAAACCAATTAAAAAAGTGTTCATGTATGTACAATCATTGTGGTTTTCTGATTTCCGTCTATTTGTGAATTACTCGTTATGAGTGGACTTTTTTTCAGGCACCGTAAATAAAAGTAATTTCAGCAGGATCAGTGTGAGAAAAATTGTTGACATGTGTGTCAAATACAAAAGTGTTAAAATGTGAAGAATAATTGCACTGTGCAGCATTTTTAGTGCTTTTTAAATTTACCTCGATGGATGCTATATTTTTGGATTCGTTACGAGTCCCCAAGTTAAACTGCGTTTTCCAAAAAGTTCCCCGACGCATGGATTCTTAGCAAAAGGACCTCAAAGTTCGAAAAATGCTGAAATTGGCCAACTTTGCGGAGCTCTCAGAGGCAAATGGATGCATGGTTTGATTCGATGTTAAAGATTTTTAAAAGATACACCCTTTATCTTTCCAACCCCATACTTAAAATAATTTTAGGATTTTTTTTAAGGCAGAAACAAATTCTAGAAAACATAGTCAAAAAACATAAAAGTATACACCTGCGGTCAAAATAGTAGTAGTGTTGCCGCCCTGTGTATTTAAAAGTTTGTTGTTTTAATTGATCTTTTCCTGGTAATATTGTATTGATTATGATTTTACTATTAGACTTATTGGATAACAAAAGTTACAACATCAAACTTTTAAAAACACAGGGCGGCAACACTACTACTATTTTAACCGCAGCAGTATGTTTTTAAGTTTTTTGACTATGTTTTCTAAAATTTGTTTCTGCCTTAAAAAAATCCTAAAATTATTTTAAGTATGGGGTTTGAAAGATAAAGGGTGTATCTTTTAAAAAACTTTAACATCGAATCAAACCATGCATCCATTTGCCTCTGAGAGCTCCGCAAAGTTGGCCAATTTCAGCATTTTTCGAACTTTGAGGTCCTTTTGCTAAGAATCCTTGCGTCGGGGAACTTTTTGGAAAACGCAGTTAAACTTGGGAATTCGTAACAAATCCAAAAATATAGCATCCATCGAGGTAAATTTTTGATGCTGCATAGTGTTGTTAACACACACAGCTCACTTGTGTTTTTTACACAATGTGTTATTAACACGACGTGTTTTTTACACACTGTGTTTTCAACACAAATGAAAATTACATTTTATGTTATCTTATATGTTAGTTTTAACCATTTCAAAGCATATATGTATTATTATACTCTAGAAAGACGTGAATTTTTTAGTTCAACATATAATTCTGGCACTTTAATGTCAAAAACTCATTGTGTTAAAAACACGCTGTGTATAAAACACGTCGTGTTAATAACAAGTCGTTTAAATAACACAAATGACATGTGTGATTTATGTTTCTAACATACAGTGATGAACTTAATTCTTGACACACTTTGCATCTTGGACTTTAGGTTCCATTTTCTCCGCCTAATAGATATATAACAAACATGTAATATGTAATATATGCATGAAAAAAATAAACAAAATGTGTTTATATAGAGGCCACACTTTACTGTTAAAATAATTTGGTTTCATTTTTATAACTCTTAAGATTCATTTTTTAAAACTCAAAAACTAAAAAATGAGCTGATTCTGCCCGAACAAAAATCTTGGCACAGTTGTGTTGTATTTAACTATTTCGCTAAAAGTTATCCGATTTGACTCATTTTTTTTGCTTAATCCGCTTTGTCTCAGTTGTCTAGATGGCATAATGCTAAATTTGTATCCTTATACGTTTTAATATCCACACCATGTGCCTTTTGGACCGTTGACCAGTGTCACATTGCACACCTTTAATGAATACTGCGTGTTCCACGAGTATTCTATCGACCCAGCCTAAAATTGTTTTATCATTCGAGGAAGCTCAACCACAATAGTCCATAATTAATAGTCGGTTGATTAGTTCTTTTAAACAGTCAAAAAGGATTAAACAAATGTACCTTGTTTTCATTATCTTTTTAATGGAAGAATTTACAGTTCTCTTAACATCGATTACAATAAAGTTGAGAGTAATATATATTAATAGCGTTTTACATATGTATATTTCCTTAATTGCATTTAACACAGAGAGCAGCGTACATATTAATTAATAACAGAAAAATAGCTGCAAATAACTAAAATTTCGATGTTTATTTTTTATACATATTCGGGAAGCGGTGACCTATCATGTTCAAATATGCACCCAAATACAGATCCAAACCTGCCCATACGAATGGGATGCTATATTTATCTCATATGTGACTCGTCTAATTGCTGCAAATGATATATCTTGTTTCTAACGTTCTCATTTGCTTTTACAAGTGTTTATTTTCTCCTTTGCAAAAACATCTACGGTAATAAGCATAGTGAAAATCTTATTTAGAGATTGATGTCTTATCTTGGAGACTAGTAAACAATACATGGCGAGGGCAGCAGAACTAAAAGTGTTCATTTGTTCACAAAGAACGCTGGATTTGGTGACAAGTTGGGCGGCATCGTTATCATGTTGCCCTGCTGCTGCTGGTGCATCTGCTGTTGTTGCTGACTTCTGGTGTTGGTTGCATACAGTTGCTGCTGGAAACTGTGATATTGCTGTGCATACTTCAGGTCGTTGGAGGAGGGACCAACGAAGTTGATGCCGTTCGTGGGACCAACACTTCCGGCAGCAGACATTAAATTATTATTGCTGGGCCCAATTAATGACTGACCCTGCCCCTGCCCTTGGCCTTGACCCTGCATCTGGATCTGTCCTTGGCCCACCGCAGGGCCAACTCCTAATCCGGTTTGATTTTGACACATTCCGCCGGGCATGTTCTTTAGGTGTTGAGGCTTGGGCTGATTGGACTGTTGCGATGCTGCAAACATGGGTGGGCCGGCGCTGTTGCAGGTAGCGTTGTTGAAGAAGGCTGTAGGATCCCCGACGCAGTCCAGACCATCCGACCCATGTGAAAACTGAATCTGCCTGTTTACTGAAGCCTGCATGCGTGGACCCATTGCATGTGGTCGCATGCCATGCGGACGCATGCCCCGTATCATGGACGGCTGACCAATATTCATGGCCACGTCATGGCCGGCTAAGCCTTCTTCGTCCATCATGCCCATTTGATTGCAGTTCTGGAAGAAGTTAATGCCGTTGCCTGCTCCAGGGTTGTTTGCGATCTTGTTCTGGTGCTGCTCGCCGGGAGAGTTCATTAGCATTGGTCCTGACCCAGATCCTACCATCATTCCCGGCATTCCCGGCATTCCAGGAACACTGTCGCCACCAGACGGTGGACAGATCGGGGAACCGTTGCCAACAGAAGCCATTTGCGGATTGGCGTACCGCTGCAGGAACTCCAGACTTGGTGGCATTCGAACATTGCTGCCTCCATTGTTGTTGTTGTTATTGGGGTTCTGCGGTCTCACTGGCATGTACTGTATGGTGTTCGGGGTACTCGCCTTCACCTGTATATTAGGATTAAAGTTCGAACCAAAATTCACTGGCATTCGGCCCATCATCCTAGCACCAGGCGGCAAAACACCTTGGAAGTTTGGAGAGTTGGCTGGCCCAGTGCCAGGAACTGGACCAGGTCCCAGGGGACTCTCCCTTAACACGCCATTGGGAGAATTCGGGTTAAAGCCTGGCGGGCCATTCGGACCATTCGGACCGCCTGGAACGCACATTTTGGGATTCATCATTCGCTGACCCATGGAGTTCATGACATTCATTGGATGACAGTTATTCTGGTTGATGGCATCCATTCCCGGTCCATCTAGTCCCGAAATCATAGCATGTTCAATATTCATGTCTGCAGGTCCCGAGCCGCCCATCATAGTCATCCCACCAGTGCCGGCTGGACTACCCATACTGGATACGCAGCTTGTTAGTTGCTGGGACATCTGCGCCAGAGAAGAAATGGGATCGAAGTTCTGTGTCATCTTGTTTGGTGGCGGGCGATTACCGCTGTTGGGATTAAGCGGGATATTGTCGGAACGCCGAGTAAACTGTACGGAACCTCCTTGGGCTGGAGCCTGACGCTGAAACCGAAGGTCGATTAAAAAAAAATTTTTAACAAAACTACAAATCTTATTACCTCCATCTGCATGTTGGGAGTGCCTATTTTATAGGCATTCAACGCTGAATTAGGATTGCTTTGCATATGCGGGTGGGGATTAAAAATCACACCAGGACTGGAGGCAGCAAATCTAGCTTCTATATTTGCCTCTAGACCATTTCCTGGCGACCGTTGACCCTGTGGGCTGGGTCGTCTACTTTTAATGTTATCACCTGTAAGTATTACCGATTCATTAAATATATCATCTCTAAAGATTATACAATTTTGTATATATCCGGTCAGATATTTTTTGATAAGGTCCCAAAAGCCTGGACATTAAAGCACTTTAAATAATTTACTAAAATTTCATTTTGTTCAACTCTTTTATCTAAACAGTTAAATTAACGTTATAATTTTCTGAAGCTGCCATTTTTGAACGGTAAATCTCGTTGTTTTTTATTTTTACTTTCCCCGAAAAGTAGTTGAAAATTGCAACATTTGCGGTGGAACCAAGTTAGAGAAGTAAAATGCACTATCCAACAACAAACAGATACTCGTTACGCTGTTAACTAATTTCAATATAAACAAGAAAGGAAGCTAGCTTCGGCAAGCCGAAGCTTATATACCCTTGCAGATCATTCTATTAATTTACAAATCGCAAAAATGTTAAATTTCTTATTATTTCACATTAATTTTTCGATCGTTTCTATCACAACTATATGATATAGTAGTTCGATCTTTTAAAAATTAAAATCGAAATTCGGAAACATTTCAAAATAGTCATATCCCAGAGTAGAAGGAAATGTAATAAAAACCAACAAATATACAATTTTTTCCCCATTAATTTCCATTTAATTTTTCGACCGTTCCTATGGCAGCTATATGATATAGTGATCCGATTTAAAAAATAAAAAAACCGAAATTCAGAAACATATAAAAAAAAATATTCCCAAGAGTAGAAGGTAAAATTTCAAAAAACACCGGAGCTTGAATTTTTTTACGTTTTTTTTTTTATCCTTCCTATGGGAGCTATAAGATATAGTTGTCCGATCCGGTTGGTTCCGACATATATACTACCTGCAATAAAAATACGACTTTTACGAAAGTTTCATCCCGATAGCTTTAAAACTGAGAGACTAGTTTGCGTAGAAACGGACGGACAGACGGACGGACAGACGGACGGACAGACGGACAGACGGACATGGCTAGATCGACTCGTCTTGTGATGCTGATCAAGAATATATATACTTTATGGGGTCGGAAATGTCTCCTTCACTGCGTTGCAAACTTCTGACTGAAATCATAATACCCTCTGCAAGGGTATAATGATTCTAGATGAACGTTGCCTTTTGTTCATTTTGGTGAATCGATAAGTATGAAACGAAACAACTGCAATGCAGTTAAATTGTTAATTGTAGCTTTAAAACTGTGGGCGCCGATGACTTCTGCGATTTGTGGGCTTTAGAGTGGACACAGCACTCTAAACAAACTAGCGCTGCGCAAGAATCCTCGATTGCAACTTAATTGTTATCGAGATCTCAACGTTTACGAGGACAAACAGAATTTTAACTGGTACGATTTTTACTTATTAGATAGAATAACGGAACTAAATTTTATTTACAAAAACATTAAGTTGTACGTTACCAGCAGAAGGCTGTCCAAAAGGTTCCAATTCCTTTGGGGAGAGATGGGACAGCGGAGTGCTTGGGTTACTGTTTAAATTATGAGTGAGTACTCCTGATGCTCCGCTATTTCGATTCCGATTTTGGTTTGACGGAGATGGGATGTCCGTCTGAAAACAATTTTTGTTCGCTGAGAGCCCTGCCGTCGTTCCTCCTTGTGACGCCGTCGTAATAGCCGGGGGAGCTGATCCAGACAACGAAGCTACGCCATCCATGCTGGGCGAGTTTGTTGGCAAACCCATGACTGCGCCAGTGGTGCGCGGTGAAGGCAGGGACAGGTTATTGGGACTCGAAGGATTGGGCGACTGAGTGGCTATGGGCACTGATGCAGATCGCTGGGTGGAATGGTAGGGAGGCGGTGGTCCCTGCAGAGAACGCACTTGACTACTGGACGCATTGCCACCTGTTCCAGAGGCATTCTGCTGTGGTGGGACGACAGGACCGGTCGCTTGTCTGGCCTTACCCCCCTTTAAGCGCTCCTCGAAGAATTGCTGCTGGATCTTCGACCACTCCATTTGAGCCACTCCTCCTTGGTGCGAATGGGAAAGGCCATCTTGACTTGAAAGCTCCTTAGACATATCTGGTACAGATCCGATGACATTAGCATTGCAGCTTGTGTTACCGAAAGACGCCAGCATATCCGCTGAGCTCCCCATCATACTGCCATTCGGAGCGGCAGAGCTTGAGCAGTGCATACTGGAGTTTATCGCGCCTGCAGAGGTTCCAGGTCCAGCACCAGGTCCTACTCCAGATCCGCACTGCAGGCTGCTTTTCTGACTGCTATTGCAGCCCATTACAGCATTGATATCCGATATAACATCGCCGGGCAGCATTACCTCCTCTGGGAGACCAGAGTTATTTCCTGCTAAGAGCTCCGGTTTTACGTTCCCTGGCATATGCATTTGCCGCATTTGCGGATTTATTATAGATCCCCCGCCGCCCGGCATGCCCATCATTAGGTCGCCTGGGATTTTCGGCATTTGTGAGCTCACATTTGCTCCCACTGAACTTTCGTTTTCCGGAAAAAGAAACTGATTCATTTTCTTCAGTTTTGCCAGCTGCTCCTCACGGTGCTGACGCTGTTGCGGTGTAAGGTTTTCGTCTGGAACCTTGACTCCTTGCAGCGAAACAATGTTGTTTTCGTGCGTCAGACTCGAGTCGCTTCCCTTTGTGACCTGCCCCAGATCAACGCCAGCTGCTTCAAGTATCTTTATTGCCTGGGACTCGCTGGAAGCACTGATACCGTCGAGATTGTTTCGTGAGTTTTGCCCAGGACCACTGGCACCGCTGTTTCCGGGTCCGCTTTCCCAGCACATCAGTTCATTATCATTGGCTAGGGAATCGGCCTGGTCGACAAAAGTGTTGTTCGGCACGTTCACAGTACCACGTTTGCTGTTTTCATTTTGAGTGAACTGGTTTTTCAAGAGGCTGGCAGGCTTTGAATGCGGCTGATGTTGAGTTATCTTTGATACAGGATTGGACGCAGTCGGTCCTCCGGGTCCCATGCCTATCCATGGCATTCCCAAGGCATTGTGGCGCTGCAGCTTGTTCATCTTCAAAGGGTTTTTCATAAAGAAGTCTTCGAGAAAGTTTTTTGTGGCTGGCTGGGTGCAGTGGTACGCAATAATGGTTTGGAATTGACCGCTCAAAACCGATTCAGCCCCTTTGTTAGCCAGTTGAGTTGAAAACACGAATATGTGGTTCTGCTGTTGCATGTAATCCAAGCAATTGCTTCCACCCGAAGATGGCACATTGCCGTTTCCCGTCAAGAGGCTACCCACACCAGCTCCAGCTCCAATTCCCGTTCCTGGTCCAACTCCACTTACTTGAGACGCGTTCATGCCAATCGCTAATATGCTCGAAATAGGCGGGTTACTTAAGGATTCACTGATAATATCTGAGTTCAACGGATTGCAGCTAACGCTTTCCATACCCATTTCGTCATTACTTATTACCAAGGAAGAAGGCTTCTTTTCAGGGACACTATCGGTTGTTCTTTCCATTTTTACTAAATGAATGAGAAAGAATAAGCATTATTAACACATGCATAAGGATAAATAAAAATTAAATTAAATAATAAGTTGATTTCTTTCTTTCATGGTATGTTTAATAATTTTGAAATGTAATCAACACAGCTGGCATTGAAAACATTTAAAAACTTAAAATCTCCGAAAATTTTAAAAATGTTTAAAGGAAAGTGTAGCGTCTTACAAAAAAAATCTATTTTTTTGAATATTTTTCTTTGGCACAAAAAAATCGACGAACTTTGCGATTTTTTCTATAAAAAGTGGTTGGATGGATTTAATTCAAACCTTTTGTATATTATTAAGTTTCATTTAAATAACATCCACTAATTTTTATAGCCGATACTATCGGCTAATATGGCTAGAACACTGTTAAAAAAAAGGCGCTTTGCGGTGTTCACTGTACCTCCGTTAAAAATAATCGGATTTCTATTTTGTTTTTACATTTCGCTTAAGAATTAAAAAAACCCGCTCCTGGGAAGCCCTTTTATTCATTTTTTATTTTTAAGAATTTTTTCCAAAGTCAAAAATACGTTTTTCACCTAAAAAATTTAACTTTCGGCTTCAAAATAAAATATTTAAAGATTAAAAAAAACCGCTTTCCAGGGGCGGGTTTTTTTATGCAGAAAATTTGTGCGTCAAATTTGAAAACGATTGGTTCAGCCGTTTAGAAATGACGATGAACACGGACTTTCGAAACATGGTTTCGAGAAAAACGCACTTAAAGATGCACTTACGTACTTAAAGTCTTAGAGGTTAGGGTACTAGTTTTAGCATAACTTCTAAAGTTTTTTTCCGATTGACTTAAAACTTTTTTTGTATACTCTTAAGATGTTAATCTACAAGAAAAAAAATTAAACCCCCCCAGCATTTCTAAACGGCTCAACCAATCGGTTTTAAACTTGTCGCATATTTGTATACCCTTGCAGAAGGTATTATAATATTGGTCAGAAGTTTGTAACGCAGTGAAGGAGACGCTTCCGACCCCATAAAGTATATATATTCTTGATCAGGATCTATAGGGGAGTCGATATAGCCATGTCTGTATGACCGTGTGTACGTCTGTTCGTCTGTCCGTCTGTATGTCTGTTTCAATACATGTCTGTATGTCTGTTTAAAACATGTGTACGCAGATCAAGTTTGAAAATCGACCCGATCGGACGTCTATATCCTATAGCTCCCATAGGAACAATCGGATATAAGTTGCAAAAACTGCATGCCTTGATCAGGGAAAAAGCGCGGGCCGATCGGACGTCTATATCCTATAGCTCCCATAGCTCCTCGTTTTATATTTGTTTTCTTAGAAAAAACATTTTTTTTCCTACAACAAAAAATTTTCACAAAGATGATGCTTTTATTTAATTGCCTTTAACAATACCTCATCAAAAGATAATCGCTATAGGGCTCCGCTGATTTAAGGCAGACTTTTGGCTCTTTCGCCCCACTGTGTGACGGTTTGAAAAAATGGTTTCAAATGGCTGTTAGGTGTGTCTCAAATCAATGAGGACAACATTTTTAATTTATTTGACTTACCCGGCGTGGCGGAGGAGTCCTGTGCATTACCAATGGAGCCAAATCCGACAGGGGACATGTTTGGAGAGTGATTTTCTCTTTCTTCTTTTTTCATATTTACTAAGTTGCTCAAAACGTCTGATGGTTCTTCCTTAATTGCAATGCCGATGGCTAGACCGGAAGTAGACCCTGTCCCGCACCCAGTGCCAGGAGCTGTGCCTTTTGCTTTATTACATCCTTTTTCTGTTGAGATATGGGGCATAAATGTGTGGAAAATCTTAATTATCTTACAGGCTCGGCGCTAATTTCTATGCTTTTAATATCCCAAAAAATACAGGTTAAGTGAAGTAAATGAGGTTATGAGTGTGTATATGGGCATTTCCATATTGTCGCTCGGGACATTTGCACACCTTTCAAATTGAAAAAATATTGGAAAAAATAGATTTTAATTTTAATAATGGGCTTTTCTTTTCACTCTTTCCAAGCTCTATTTTCTGTAAAAATCTTTATTTTGTACCACTTTTATTTTTTAAGATATCGGTTAAAAACTGCAGTATTCGTTCGGGACAAAAATAAAAGTGGATTTTGGGTAAGAAATTAGCGAATTCTGATGGAATATTTGAATGCGATTTTTTTAGAATGTTGTTCAAACATGTCGCTGTGAAATGGTCTTGGTTTTGCTCAAAAATTGATTGCCGTTTTTTTTATTCAGTTTTTTATTTCAGATTTTTTTACCTCTATCCCTCAATTGCTGGATGTTTTGCTTTTAACTTAATAGTTTAACAAGTAAATAAAGCATTCAGTACAAAAAAATGGTATATATTAGCATTCCTGTAGGTTAAATTACCAACAGAAGACAGGTCCAAAAATAACAAAAAATTAGCCAAAAACTAACTTTTGCGTATATTGATGGGATTTGTCATAAAAATAATCAAACTATACTCCAAATTTTTAGTTTAGCTCAGGATCCAAGTAATTAGAAACTAATAAGGCGGCAAAATCATGTGGAAATATGTTTTATTCCAGTTTCAAGGTTTTTGGCTTGGTGGACTTTTTGGTGGAAGTGCCCATATATATACTTTTGATCAGGATTACTAGCCGAGTCGGCCCATCCGTGTCCTTCTGTCCGTCCGTATGAACGCTGAGATCTCGGAAACTACAATAGCTTGAAAGTTGGGTCTAACCACGCAGATTCTTGGGGTTCTTGGGCAAGTTTGTTTTATCAAGGTGCCACGCCCCTCTATCGACCACACTCGTCTTAATTTTCAAAAATTTGATTTTTAAGAAAGTTACCACACGAGGATTGAAATAATATTTCATATTTCAGTTTGGAATAAGAAGGCAAAAATTATAGACAGAGCCGGTCCGAGTGTATGTATAAGCAATAAGTAACACTTTCTTACCGACATCCTCGTCCTTCGCACTGGTCTTTTTTTTCTTGCCCTGCTCGTCACTGTCAACCATTTGAGAAAGGCCCACTGTAGCAGACACACTGCTGCTATTGGAGTGTTCACTGGTGTTGTTCGGGGAGGCGACCAGACACGAGTTGACGCTGCTCGAGGAGTTCTGCCTCAGTACCGGTGTGCCCACGGTAGCGATCAAGGAAGATGATTGTCCCTCGGCTGGTATGCTTCCACCTCCTCCGCTTCCTCCTCCGTTACCACTGGTCGAAGCGGCGACGCCCTTATCACCACTTGATAGTCCGTTTTTCTCTGTACCTTCGTCTGGCATTACTTTCATTTGATCTAGAAGCACAGCCAATTAGTAGGGGACTTCGCGAATGGAAGATAAGAAACAAGGCTTACCCGGAGACAGAGTGGAAAAGGGCTCGTTTTTGAGGGTCTTCGGAGAGCTCCTGCTGGTGCCGGCGACCCCATTGCCGATCCCTACTCCAGAATTCGACCCAGATGCACTTGTTGGGGCATCGGCGTTCGGCTGTGACTGTGACTGTGTTTGGGCTGGACTGCGGGGCATTGTTGTCGAGAGCATTGTAGTCGGGGCTACAAAAACAATTGGGTTTCTCCTTCCAAATCGAACTTGCTCAGAACGCGCCCGTGTCTAAGCGCTCGGGATGGTGAGAAAAGCCATCGTCTTGGCTGTTTGGGTTTTCTGGCGAACACATCCAGTGGAGCTGGGGCATATGTACATCAAATACAGACCGCACGCACACTACCGCACATATGCGTGAGCTTGCAACTCGCAAATTTTCGCAAAACAGAGCCCGGATATCTCAGATGCGATCATTATGATCGCTGGCAGGGTCTACAATCTATTTTTCAGCCTAGTTTGAAACTCTTTTGTGTTCAACTTGTGCTGTTTCACAATTTTATGTATACATATGCACTATCAACACTTGTGAACAACTCGGTCGTTAGCCGTGGCTTAGCGCAGAGAAATGAGAAATTGACCGGGCTGGGAATTACCCTGTCAGAAATGGCAAAGTTCTTCGCGGAAAACAAATTAATGTGAATAACTGGCGGAATATGAATATTATAATATTATAATATAAAAAAGTGTTTTGCCGAGGAACAAACGGTCATACGCAAATGTTAGGTGGGTGGTATTTTGCCGAGGAAACAAACGGTCATACGCAAATGTTAGGTGGGTGTCCTCGCTAACGATATGTATACCGAAAACAGTCGAAATATATTTCCACAAAAATGTTATCGTTTATAAACGTCCTCCACAAAAATGTTATGCTCTTTATTATACGATAGTTAGCAAAGACACCCAACAAAAACACCGTTTTAATATTAAAAATTCCGTTTAAAATACCAATGAGCACTGCTAGTAAAAATCGAAAAAAGTGAAAAAACAGCTTGTAAAAATCGAAAGAAGTGGGAAAACCGTTAAAAAATACCGTTTAAAAAAGTTCAAATATATAGAAAGCAAAAAAAGAAAGAGAAAGATCATTCCTATTAACTTACAAAAACATTAAATTTAGAATTACTTGCTTATATATTAAAACAATCCAAATTTTAACTGCTTTCGTATTATTTGACATTAATTTTTTGATCCTTCCTATGGGAGTTATAAGATATAAGATATAAACGTCCGAATTTTGTTAAATTTAATTCGAAACTTTGATATGTTAAAGAAAAGCTATATCCCAGAGAAGAAGAGAATGTAATAAAAATCAACAAAGATATAATTTTTTTCCTATTAATTTCCATTTTATTTTCAGACCGTTCTTATGGCAGCTATACGATATAATGATCCGATTTTTTTAAATATTAATTCAAAATTCAGAAATATTAAAAAAATAATATTGGAAAAAAACAACGAAGATAGAATTTTTAACTGTTTTTTCGATCCTTCCTATGGGAGCTTTAAGATATAGTTGTCCGATACGGTCAGTTTCGACTTATGTACTACCTGCAATAGAAAAAAGACTTTCGGGAATGTTTCGTCCCGATGGCTTTCAAAACTCTGAGACTAGTTTGCGTAGAAACGGACACACAGACGGACATGGCTAGATCAAAAATATATATACTTTATGGGGTCATTATATCGATATATTCAGGGTATTTCCCTAAATTGTTGAAAATTCAACAGAAAATTTCAGCAATTAAGGGAACGACCCAAAATGATTCCTGTTGAATTTTCAAACAGCTGTTATTTGTTGAAAAGTTTCTCGGAACTTAAAGCATGTACAATTTGATTTTTTATTGCTAGTTACTGCCTAAAATTCTTACTAAGGTAAAAAGAACCACAAATATACTTTTTTATGTTGATTTTGAAATACATAATGCGTACTGGTGATACTAAAATGTTACAGAGTTGCCATGACTTTTAATACACGGTGATGTTCAACGATTCAACAAAACTTTCAACAACCTCGAGGCTGTTGAATTGCTGAAATTTCTGAAAGTTCACTTTGTATGAAACAGTTGATTAACAGATGACCAAAATTCAGCAATTCAACAGTTTATGGAGTACCCATTCAACTATTTTTTATAGAAACTTCTCAACGTTATATGTATGCACCCCCTACTTGGACTTGCCCTTCTTTAAATCGAGCAAGTGCTTTGGTAGAAATTAACATTTTATTGAGTTTGGAGAAATATAATAATGTTTTTGGATACGATTGTGAAGTTTTCATACTGTTGAAAACAATCCCCGTTACTTTGGAATTAGGGGGTGCATACATATCACATTGAGAATATTCTAAAAAAAATTGTTTCTTCGAAATGGTCGCTAAAAAGTTGCTAGTTCGATATAATTGCCCTATTTATAAATTTTTTGGCTATACTCGCAGTCTCGCTGGCTGGACAAGGTGACCGCGTGGGAAAAGCCACTATAAAAACGACTTGAATTTCTCGAAATCTGTGGGTCTCATTTGCATAATAGGCAGAGACGTAGGAAGAGCGGAGTGTGGTATACGGCAGGTTCTCCCAGGCAGCAATATGTATGCATAGGCGTTATAGAATATGTTGTAAAAGCTCAGAAATGTTTTAAACCACTATCGTATTTTATTGTGTAATTATTATGGTATTATTCTTCAATAAGATTAGGAGAACGCAATTTTACGCCAGTTTTGACGAGTTAAAATCCACTTTCGTTAATGTTGAGTTAAGCAACTGCTCCTCAAGTGAGCTGTTATTGGATGGGATGGTGGATGGAGCTTTGAGGGAACACGAGTTTAATATTTGTCAAAAATCCCAACCGTTTCACACAGATGGACTCTATGGGAAGAGGCTATAAATTAATTGACAAAACAGTGGAATTATTCCCAAAAATGGCTCCAGTGTTCTATATTCCACCGTTCCACTTTCGTTGCTAACTCGTCGACGCTATTTTGACGTACATCGATAGTGGCAGCTCCTCACAACCGATAGTACCATTGTTTGCCAGCAATAGTTGCAAAATTGGAATCAAAACGTAAGGAAACAACGTAATCAAAACGTGAAGTGCAATCAAAACGTAAGGAAACAACGTAATCAAAACGTGAAGTGCAATCAAAACGTAACGAAACAACGTGAAGTGCAATCAAAACGTGAAGTGCAATCAAAACGTAACGAAACAGCGTAATCAAACGTAACGAAACAACGTGAAGTGCGAGAGAGGCAGAGCGAGCGTAAGAGAATGAAAATGGATAGAGTTTCACAAAGAAGTATGAGTTTCGTCTAAGAGTTCACTGGATTTTTTAGGGGAAAGCATCATGTGGCAACACTGGCTAGCTCAAACATTGAAACATTTGAAATTTACGAAATGAAAATTCGTGTCGCGTTTCTCTGGTCGTGCGGTTCTTGCTGGATTATTAACGAACGCCAAAATTTCGTCAGCACGAAAAAAAAATTCTTTGTTAAAAAAAGTTGTAGTTATTGAGAAACTAATAAAAAACATGCACCCTTTGAAAAATATTCAATATTCTATATTTAGTTTACGCATCCAGCCCTGGTCGTTTTTCGGTAAATTTTCCGAAAGAAGAAAATGTCTCGAGTTTATGTGAGTTATGTTTATGTCCCCAAATCCGTCCCCGGTTCTGTGACACCCCCGGATATGTTTTTACAGCAAAAAATCTCAAACTCCTCGAAAATGCTACTTTGTTTTTATAGCAAAACACGCAACTTTTCCGCCGAGAATCTACCGCACGTGAATTCTTAAGAAATCGCGGTCCATCGAGGGTAACTATTTTTCGATTTTTGGGGCACAGGCCCCTCTCTAGACCATTACTAAAAATTTTCGACGCAGGCGTTTTTCTTCTTTATTTATCCGCCTTTTCCTTGGCGATGATTTTCACACGAGTTTCACTGCTCCACCCGCACACGCACAAATTTTCAGCGTTTTGCAAGGCTTTGCCAATTTACCTCAACTTTCGTTGATAAAATTACAGCTGATTTTTCAAAGTAATTAATAGCTCCTTTCCATATGAAACGGTTGGGTTTTTTGACAAATGTGAAACCTGTGTTCCCACAGAGCACATCCACCATCCAATAACAGCTGACTGGAAAAGCCGTTACTCAACTCAACATTAACAAAGGGGGAAAAACTGTCGTAAAATTGCGTTTTCCTAATCTTATTGTAGAACAATACAATAGCATAAGATAATAGTTAAAAACCATATCTGAACTTTTATAACATATCCTATAACGAGTATGCATATATATTGCTGAATGGGAAAGCCTAACCTCCCTTACCCCTTATGTAACATTTTGACAGAGGCTCGAGAAAGCGGCCCCAAGTACCTTGCTTAAAAAACAACACGCCTTTTCCCAAAGCATGCTAACAGGACAGATCTCGCTAAACCAATTTAGGGGGAAAACTCCAAATCGGACATCACTACTTGGCGTTAACAGAACAGATAGTTTTGGAGATGGAAAAGTCACTATCGATACAAATACACTTGGGTTATTCCCTAAACTGTTTGAACATGGTCAGCTGTCCCATACAAATTCAATTGTCAGGAGTTTCAGGAATTCAAAAGTATCGTTAAATACCGGGGCTTATAGGCAGTACGGAAAAAATAATAAATAAAATTAATAACTAATATTAATAAATATTTATCCATATACTTATACTTTTCGTTAAAAAGGATCTGTTGGAGCTGTATGAATATTCTACAGAAACAATTTTTGGTCACTCCTTACTTGCTAAAACTTACTGTGAAATTTTCAACAATTTAACGGTTTAGTAAATACCCAGAATATTAGTGCGGCAAATTTGCATTGAGTGTCCAACTTCTGGAGGGAAAATAGCTATTTTGTTGGACGGTAAGAAAAGGACTATTTTGCAAAAAAATATCAAGAAAAAAGCGGCATCGAACGTCAAGTTAAGCAAGTAATTAAAAAGATAAGGAGTAGTTTTTAAAAGGCAAACAAACAAATGAAAACAGTTTTGATTCAAAAAGGCTGAAAATTATAGGAAAAAAAGCCAATTTGACAACACTACTCTAATGGTTGCGCCAGCGCCTGAATAAAATCAATAAATCAATACTAAAAGTAATTGTATTTTCCAGCGTGTGAGCGCTCCAAAATAAGCATCGTTAAGCTGCGACGCACAACTAAATGCAGGCCGTAAGCTAAGCTTCTAAATCGCGACTTAAGTGTGACTATCTATGTGCATATGTGTGTAGTTCTGAACTTAAAAAGTACGTATTGCAAACTGTAAAAATAAGTTTTCCAATGATACATACTAGAGCGTGAGCACATAAAATCTAGCTGGGAAACATCAACAACTTTGTTTATAGAGCGTTTAATAGAGTGAAAATTCCGAGAATTCTGAATACACATAGGAATAAACAATATGCAGTACAGTGTACGAAAATACTTTCGTCCTAAGTTTTCAATATGGGCCGTTTAAAAAAGTTCTTCGGCTTTGTCTGCGTAAAACGCATTGAAAAGAACACAAATTGAAAATCTGAAGAAAGGATTGGAAACAAACTACTTTCAGATACACTTGTACACATGTATATATTGTATAATTACATATGTGTCTGCGAGTGTGTTGTTTCCAACCACAACTGTACGCATTATAAGGTAATCAGCTAAAATGTAACCTTTGGCAGCAGAGCTTATTAGCTGAGAGCATTATTAAGCCCCGAAACGAAAACAACTGCATTGCTTTGAGTCAAGCTGTATGCGCGACTTTGCTGATAAGGTTTCGTCGTTAAAATATTTCCAGAAACCTGTGAGAAGTCTGGCTAGAGCTGTTGGAGTGACAATAACTATGCGACCTTGCCTAATTTGACACAACGTCCAAGTTAAATCGAAACCAACTGCGTGAAAAATGCCGTTGTTTGGCAAGAAGGATTCCGGCAAGAAAGCCAAGGCGAAGGACATAAAGGAGCTCAACAAGCAAGTGTCAATCGAGGAGAAATACAATCTCCACGGACTATTGGGAACGTACGTACTAGCACGTTCATTTTGTAATGCATGTTTATCTTTAACCTGCTTTAAACCACATCGCAGGGGAGCCTTTTCAGAAGTCCGCCTAGCCGAAAGTAAGGAAACGCCTGGGGATCACTTTGCTGTGAAAATTATCGACAAGAAAGCCCTTAAGGGCAAGGAGGAATCTCTGGAAAATGAAATACGTGTTTTAAGAAGGTGAGTTCAATAATCATTTTTGGTTGCCTCAGTAGGTTTTTTATAATGGTCGTTATTCGGAACCTAAAGTTTATTTTATATATCCACTTAAATCCCTGATCAAGAGAAAAATTTGAATTTTGTAAAACCCAGGGACCGAAAATAACAGGTATTTTATTACTTTTAATCGAAAAAATCATACGCTTAGAATAACACTAAAAATTTGACTTACAAATAAAAGGTGGTGAATAACGATTTATCAATGACTTTAAAAGTAAACATTTAACTGTTACGGTCCCTGGTATAACCTATATTCGGCCCACTCGGTTGATAAACATTCATTCTAAATATTGTTATGTAAGAATGCACAATTATGTATCTAAGCTTTTCTTTGAGATAATAACAAATAACAATAAACATTTTGGCACCTTTGGAAAGAGCACTTCAATTCCGTTTAAATGACACAAACATTTTCTTAAGCCATTAAGCACCCTTTGAAAAGTGGGCAAATTAGACAATTTTTTTTGAAAGTCAAATTTTCAACTTTTTTTCTGGGGCTTAAAACAAAACTGTTTTGATGCAAATTTGTTCCCCAATCAAAATTAATAATAACTGCAAAAAAAAAAATTCAAAATATTTTTCCTTGTATTTTTTATGATTTTTTGAAAATAGCTATTTTTGCCGCCTTTTCTTCCTTTTCATACAAATTTTTACTGAGAGGTCTCCATTCAAAAAATCATAAAAAATACAAGGAAAAATATTTTGAAATTTTTTTTTTTGCAGTTATTAATTCAAATAATTAATTCAAAAGGGGTCTTAATGGGTTAAGAAAATTTTTGTGTCATTTAAACGGAATTGAAGTGCTCTTTCTATAGGTGCCAAAAGTTTATATCACTGTGCAACATTTTTAGTGTTATAAAATGTAACCGCAATTCTGATTTCATGGGCGGAAAGAACTCATCGAAATAAGCTAAAACCCATTTGGGTTTCTCTGGCTTAGCTCGCGTTTACCTTTTATAGCGAGTTAAAGTTTTACATACAAAATTTATTTGTAACGGCCATATCTTGTGAACCGATTAAAATTTCACTATCAAGTCTTCAGTGATTATGTAGCTATGAACCCAAGGAACTAAATTGACAAATGACTCTTGCGAAGACGTACACCTAGCGCGTTAAAAATCGAAAAATTAGGCAAATTTGTTTTTTAACGCGCTAGGTGCACTAGTTAGTAAGTGCGCAAGAGTCATTTGTCAATTTCGTTCCTTGGGTTCATAGCTAGATAATCACTGAAGACTTGATAGTGAAATTTTAATCGGTTCACAAGATATGGCCGTTACAAATAAATTTTGTATGTAAAACTTTAACTCGCTATAAAAGGTAAACGCGAGCTAAGCCAGAGAAACCCAAATGGGTTTTAGCTTATTTCGATGAGTTCTTTCCGCCCATGAAATCAGAATTGCGGTTACATTTTTCATGTTGCACTGTGTATTATAAGTTCAAAATATAAGTACAGTTAACATTAACATTTGTGAAAATACTTTTGACCACCACATTTAGAACTCTGATGTATTCATAAGTTGGCGAGAACATTAGGAAATCCGTAAATCAGTATATCATTTGAAGAACGTAGTCAATGGGTTTGGGAGCTAGCCCCCCTCTAGGAATGGTCCTAGAGGTATGGTATGGTTTTATAAATAATACTAAACAAAGGTGGTTCTAAACACCCCTCCGACAAATGCTGTCTACGTCACTGTTGATTTCATTGTAGAATGCAAACACACTAGGGTGGGTCGATTTGGATGTCATCAAATCGTAGAGGGGACGTATTCTATGGACACTTTTAAGCAATATTGCCAAAGAAACTATACCTGGACATTTGGACATTTAGCTTCTTTGACAATATGGCTTAAAAATGCCCAGAGATTGTTTTTCGCCCAAACCATTTTTCGCGTCCATTCCAGTGTATAAAATTTACGGCTACTGTGGTATTTTTCATCAAATACTGGGTTTATTTCTTTTGCAAATGCGGAGGGTCCAACGTGGTTTTTAAGACATACTTTTTTTGTGCAACATTGCTTAGAATTCTTCCTAGACTACGTCCCCCTACGATTTATCACTTTTTAAGGCGTTCGTTCATAATAACCTCTGCAAGGGTATTAAAAGAGGGATCCTAGTTTTCGCTGGTTGAAGTATGGGACGGTTTCTCGTTCGCATGTTAAACTTAAAGTTCGCTTTGCTTATAAGGTTCCCTTTTCGGGAATTTTTTAGGTATAAGAAATGTTTTATTAAAAAAATAAGACCATTTTTAATTCAATTGTTTTCCTTAAGGCATTGTATGTCTACTTCGGGAATAATATAATAATGTAATATATTGCTTCCCTTATGGCATTGTATGTCTACTTCGGGATTACCGAAGCTAGATTCTTTCTCCGTTTTAGTAACGATTGAGAAAACACGCATTTCAACATTGCCACAATTATTTTTATTTTTGTTGTAAATTAAATCAGTATATAATTTGGAATTAAGAAAATATATATAAGTAAACTTAACGGATTTTTAAATTGTCAAAGAATTATTTAACCCTTTGAATAGGTTTTTGGGAGTGTGCCCACTGTTTACAGCACGTGCGGACATTTTTGTTTTCTTGGCTTATTTATATTGCTTTTCTTGTTTTACAAAATCTTTCTTGTTGTTTGCTTAATTTACTTTCTTTTCATGTTTAGGTTCAGTGCAAATCATTTCGATGGCAAATGTCCGAACGGAACGCGGTGAGTTCTTATCCCGATCCCATTTTGAACTAACTATGCACTCGCATACAGAACTCAGTTTTAGAACAGTGGTTATTGAGGCTCCGATCACATCCAAATATTTCTAGACAGATTTACTGCGATTCACTTTAATTCTTAAGCTAAAGGCGATTCCAAAATATTTTGGAAAATCTGTGTCTAAAACGCCATGGGCGAAAAATTTATTTACAATTTACTTTTATTTTTGAAAAGCTACCCACACAATATGAAGTTTTTACAACTTTACTTTCAGATTAACTCATCCCAATATAGTGCAACTCTTGGAAACGTATGAGGACAAATCGAAGGTGTACCTAGTTATGGAGTTGTATGTGACTCTAATCTATACCTTTCTCTATTACTGCACAGATTTGTGTTTACTTTTATTTTTGGATTTAACAGGGTTACTGGTGGCGAACTTTTTGACCGGATTGTGGAAAAGGGGTCTTACACTGAAAAAGACGCTTCTCATTTGATTAGACAGATTTTAGAAGCGGTAGATTATATGCATGAGCAAGGTGTCGTCCATCGTGATCTTAAGGTAAATTAATTCAATTAGACAATATAACTATGAATTTCTTATACGGCTCCCACCTGTATACGAAATAAGCTGAACTATTTTGCGGCGAAATTTAGATTCCCTTGCATATAATTATGATTATTATGATTATACTTACTTTAAATTAAATTAAATAAAATATTATTTCGAGTTCTGAAAAACACACAATTATCCAACGCTCGTCAACTCATACTTACTCGTAATATAGAGTTTTATTCATTAATTTAGAAGCCTGAGCCCGAAATCTAGTGGTCTTATTTATTGCTCTACCAGTAACGGGTATAAGCTCAAACACTAAACAACAACTTTTTTACATTATACGGTTAGAATTATAGTTCTTAGGCAAAATTAAAATTATTCCAGAGGAAAACCAGAAAAACAAAACGCTAAAAATATCATTTAAAAAAGTAACCCAATATCTTGATTTTGGATAGCGTTAAATAGGATTAGGTGTCACTAAATACGTAACTTTAAAAAGGATTCAACCTTGCAATTAAACAAAATACATTTGATTTTCAAAGTCTTGGTATGCAATCCTTTGATTTTTTGTAATCCTTTTGATTATATTATCTGATTTTTAAGTTCACAGTGATATATAATTTGTATGTCGACATTTTTTTAAAATAAGATCTTAAGTTCTATGCCCTAAAAATCTATGGTTTGTTTATTTTCTAATCATTCGTATTCCTATACAAAAAATTAAGATTTTTTATCTTCTTGTATATAATACATATAATATAATATAATACTATCTTAATTTTTTAATTTTAAGGTTAAATTTATAATAATCGTATCCGAAATAATTGAAAATTATTGTTTACAGCCGGAAAACTTACTCTACTATAGTCCTGACGACGATAGCAAAATAATGATTAGCGATTTTGGATTATCTAAAATGGAGGATTCTGGGATTATGGCTACAGCATGTGGAACTCCAGGCTATGTTGCTCCTGAGGTGCTGGCACAAAAACCATATGGAAAAGCCGTTGATGTGTGGAGTATTGGAGTAATATCATACATTCTTTTATGCGGCTATCCTCCGTTTTACGATGAAAATGATGCTAATCTGTTCGCTCAGATTTTAAAAGGTGTTGTAAAAAACAATATTGGAAGTTAACTTCGGTAAGCCGATGTTTTTATACCAGAACCCTGCACAAATCAACAGTGTTAGAAAAATTGTTTGTCCGATTTTATGGCATTTGCTATAAAAGAAAATATTTAATACTTGCTTTTAATTGATACACGGACCTGCTATTTTTTTTTACTTTCAAGGAATTTTGTGGAATTCGATTAGACTTATAACAGTTTATAAACCTTTTAGTCAATTTTGTTACATGATATACACCGTTATATAAGTCAGACACTTTTAAAAACTAAATTTTAACAATTGTGCAAATCGTATTCGAATGAAATATTCGAAATTAGATAGTCAATTAGACGTAAAAACTAAGTAAAATATTTTCAGACTAAATTTTTAATTTTAAATGCAAGGATAAACATATTTATATCTATCCATAGGTAGGGATTCGTTTCTTTGATCTTTCGCGTTCACAACCGTGCTAACCCGCGGGTCATTACCACCCAAAAACCAACCAATAAATCACCCGCCTTCATTTGGTTGATTTAATCAATACTAACATTGCTTCCAATCTTAGGAGAGTTTGAATTCGATTCACCCTATTGGGATGAAATTAGCGAGTCCGCCAAGCATTTCATTAAAAACTTAATGTGCGTAGCAGTAGAGAAGCGATATACATGCAAACAAGCACTCGCCCATGCTTGGTAAGTGTTTCATTCTTAAAGTCAATTAATCTTGGGTTTCACAGAAATCTCTTCCAACCAAATTTACCCCCAAAAACTAGGATTTCCGGAAATGAGGCCAGCAGCAGAAACATTCACGGAACAGTGTCAGAGCAATTGAAGAAAAACTTTGCCAAATCCCGTTGGAAGGTGAGTTTTTTAGATCAATTTATAAATCCGAAAAATAATTTTCTCCTCTCTTTCATAGCAAGCTTACTACGCGGCGACAGTGATCCGACAAATGCAGCGAATGGCGCTAAACAGCAATAGTAGTGCAAATATTGTTTCTACTAGCAATAGCAGTAACCAAAAAGACTCTACGAATCCAACAGCAGCGTCTGGATCATCCAATGCCAATGTTCTATCAGCACAGCAATCTGCACAAAGTCAAGCACAAGAAGTTAGCGAGCCGGTAGGCAGCACAAATGGAGCTTCACAGTAGCAAAGTTGAATATCAAAATTATGTTACATATATGCTGTTTTGAATTACATTTTTGAATTTTAACGATTGTTCTAGTCTAGTAAATATGTCATATTTACTAATCGGATAATTTTTTCAATCAAAAGTACCAAACAAGTAATAATATATGAATGTGCGTACACCTGCACTACTCCATCTCTAAATAATATGCAAGGAGTAAAGCTACTGCTTAACAAACGTAATACTATTAAAATTCAATCCGTCGTTTAACATTTCTGTGAATAATTCATTATTTAAACGAGGTTTTCACTGTAAAAAATATTTTTTTCAGGTGTCGATCAGGGTTAAAAGAAATCTTTAACTTCCGCGATTTCTCCTTCATGACATGAACTAAAAAGTCAGTTTATATAAAACTACAGATGCAGAATTATAAATTAATACTGACATTAAAATAAAAAAAATTAACTTCTCCAAATAGCAAATTATACATCTTTTTTATTTGTGGTTTTATAAAATACTTTTCAGATGGAATTTTGTAAACAATAATATAAAATCATTGCAAACTTTTTATAGTTTCTGAATCTTTGCGTTTTTAAAGATTGGTTCTTGACATCAGCTTATTTTAAAAAAAAATAAATTTTCCTACATTACCATTTCCTGTCCACCCCTTAAGTTATTTAATATATTAAACGAAAAAAACAAATCTATTGGAAATCTACGTATTTGTAAATATACACAAATTTAAACAACGGCTAAGTTCTATAATTTTTTGGATATGTTACGTACGTCATTATGGTCACACTTTAAACAGAAAAAATCATAACAGTGAATAAGAAACGGTAAAATAAAACTAATTGTCGGTCAAAACATTTAAGAATTTCAAATTAATGTTTCTTCCTTATCTGTTGAATTTTTGAAAATTTGAACACGGTTGCCACTTCAAAAATTTTTTATAAGTTAAAAAAAAGATTAAGTGATTCAATTTGATTAAAAACGAGCCAAATTTTTACCATATACCAAATTACCATGCCAGCGGAACAATTTAGTTTCAAAATGGCTCTTTTGGGTTTCAGACATTAATCACTTTTAAAATTGCAAAAAAAATGAATTCGTTTTTTTTCAAGTTAAAAAAATTTTATATCGCTATTAGCAAAAAAGAGTAAAATTCAATAAAAATGGGCCAAAGAGCCAACGCGAAAAAAAGAGCACGATTTGGCTCAAAAGAACCAAACGTTGCGATGGCTTTGCAATTGTCTTCAAAATTATGTAGGAAAAAGTTATAGCCAAAAGAACAGCCTTTCCCGTGATACCAGTCTCATTCCAAAGGCTTTTTATTCTTCTCCCCTACATATTTGAAAAAGTAAGTCAATTTTCTAGTTTTAACGCGGCGATATTCCCTCAACTGTTAAATATTGTATAAACTTCCATAGAGCTCAACCCTTCGATTTCTCTCAAAATTCACTTTTTCGGTTTTCCCGTTTTTTGGAGTTTTTGCGGATTTTTCCGAAAGTATTAGAAAAAAAAAATGTATTAAAATTGTCATTAGGTTTTACCTCGTTAAGAGATGTTTTTCATAATTTTTATTAAGGCAAAAACTTTTTATATACCATCAAGCACAGTCCGCTACGGGATGTTAGAGTTAAAATTTCAAAAATTACACATTAAACGAGCTAAATTAAGTTGTTCCAACATAATTAGAATTCACTTTTTCTTATTTCTTCTTTTTTTTTTCTCAGACCCATGAACTCTTTTTTTTGTTACACAAACGCGACAGAACCAATCGTCATTATCCTTAGGAGCAAAAGTAATGCCCACACAAATCCTAAAATGAAATGTCTTCGTAAATAAATTTAGGAAATTGGATAAAGTGTAAACATACCAATGGTACCACGCATCGCATCCATCACATCCAATCATAGCAGAACCATCGTCTACCTTCCCACAAGCCGGACAAATCCATATGCGATTCCCCTCGGCGTCAACGTATGAAGATGGACGACTTGTTTCTGCGATGTGCGAATTCTCTTCTGAAATAATGGGGGGAGAACTAAACGAGCCACCTTTTGACGCGGGTCCTCCACTATTGGTGATTACTGATGAGAAGTTATTTATGATCGTATTAGGCGTCAACATCAATTGCTGTGGTAATAAAACTGAACTAGCCGAAAGCGTGGACGACGCAGCATTACTGCTACTGGGATTCGACAGCCAACCGGCTGAGTTGGACGAGGTTTGGCTTATGGGTATCTGCGTTGGCCTCGAAACTATTGGGGAAGGCACTGGGACTACTGAAGTAGTATTAACGGAACTGTCGCTTAGAGGCGGGCCTGCACTTGATATTCCTAGTAAGTGCGATTCAGCTGAAAGTAACAAAGATTTATAGTGTTACTAATGTGATCGAAAATGTATCCTACGTACATGATTTGCCCTTAGGCGGCCCGGTGACCAATGGGGAGAAGCGAGCCAGCTCAGGAGAATTATCTCGCTCACGCTCTTTTCTTTCTACAGGAAATATAGTTGGCTGTTTAACCTTTCCTGCATCCGACGTGTCTTTGTCTTTTTCAGGAACCGGAAATGTTGTGGATTTGCCACCTAGTTTTAGTGTTAGTTTTGGTATTTGACTCGGAGACTGCTGTAACTTAGGAGACATTGCATAAGTGGCCGCAAGCGGTGGTTTTATTGGCATTGGACTTGATTTCAATACAGGTGTACCCAAAAGTACACTTTGAGTAGAGCCAAGTTCAACGGTGTTTATTAAAGGCGCCCTGGGAAATTCTTCCACTTCATCCGGTATATGGATTAAAATCTAAAAAGATATTGAAACTATTTCAGTAAAACGATAAAGAAACTTATCTTTGGAATCCCTCGTAAATATCGACATAGTGGACACTATCAAAAATGCCCGTATCTTCGGGAAGCCGAAGTTCATATACCCTTTCCGTTCTAACAATTTATAAATTAATTTAGCCAAATTGTAAAAAATACCGATGTTGTCACGAAATATTCGTGAAATGTTGATGCTTAAATTACTTTCCTATAATAAATAATAAAATCCGTTTCACCACTTATATTGCACCACCCCTACTATCAAAATGTAAGTACACAAACACATTTTTATTGCGCAATAATTTGAAAAATTTGACAGAAACTGGTATTACTCTTTTATAATAGGTTTTTTTCAGGACAGACTTAAAAAGGAAAATTAAAAAGCTAGAATATATATACAAAAAATATGAAATCCATAAGAAAGATTGTCTCTGTTTCTTGAAAATTTTTTTTTTTTCAAACAGGGTTGCTAGCCCAATAGAACAAATTATAAGCAAATTTGACCTAAATTACTTGCGTGGGGGCTACTGAAGATTTTTAGCACAGCCATCCGTATACTTTTGTAGGTTTTGAAGCAAACTAACCATGGGGTCAGTGGGTACTCATGGAAGTATTGTGAAGTATAAATTTTTGGTGTATAACTTCTTAGCCAGGAACACTTTTAATTTTTACAAATTTCGTTTGAGATAATGGAATTGTGACCAACCTGTTTTTCCTTTTTCTTCTCCTTTTTTTGTTTTTTGTCAAGTCCCTTTATTTTTCGGTCGGGTTTGAAAGACGCTATGCCAATTCGATCCTTTTTCTTTGATTTATCTTTTTTATCCTTTTTTTTTTTTATTTTCCCTTCCTTGAGCTTTTTTAGTTTTTTATGATGTTTGCGCATTTTGAGATCTAGCGACAATGCTCCAGTTGGTGTAATAGTAATATCCTCGTAGTTTGAAAATGTTGGCAAAAATTGCTGCTCCTCTGATATATTCATGTGACTTGATAAAAGAGGGTTAACGCCTGATGCCACGTTTCCTGTCAAGCTACTGGACGGCACCTTTTGGGACGAATATGCCGAACCGCAGTCCATTCTAGACAATGGAATAAGATCGGCTCCCCCAGCTAAACTGAACTTGTCACCTCCCATAAAATTCGGTAAGTTGAATTGCTGAAATGATGACGTGGGAGGGGCTGTGTGAATTATATTCTTTACGTCTGGAAGGGTCAGTTTTACTGGCTTCTTCAATTTCTTAATTGATTCACTAGAGCTTGAAGAAGGCAAAACATTCCTTAAATCCACATGGGTTTTGTCTTCACATATTGCTGATTGGGACTGTGGTTGTACTAAGCCCGCTTTAGCATGACTTGGGGATGATAGTGGTGATTTTCTTTGAACCATTTGTCTGTTTTGTATTGATTCGTCTGAATCATCTGAGACCTCGATTGGATCACCAAGGTTTCCAGAAGCCTGTACTGATGATTTTGCCTTTAATTTAGCTGGAGCATGTGGCGTATATGCATTTTCCAAGTCAGTATTGCCACAAGTCACTGTTTTACCTGCTGTTAAATCATGTTATTATTGCATTGTTAATATTTTTTGCACTAAACTTACACTCAGAAAACTTCAATGAATCTGGTACCAACGGCGCAACATTGCAGTAGTTTCGATCAGTTTGCAAGTCCATCTGCGCGGAGGACCTCCTCAGAAATTGATCACTGTCAGTATCTTGAAAATAGGAAATTAAAATGGTTATTATTATATAATGCTATTTTCAATATGCCACACTTTCTCCGAAGAAATCTCTAGGTATGTTAGTTTCTTATAGTTATCATCTATTGAATAACTCGCGATTTTCCTCGTGTTTGTTTTTTATTTTTGGGATCAATGAGTCAAAAGCACCATCATCTTTGATTGTTTCTGGTATAATGTTTCTGGTTAAACTCTACCATCCTTCTTGGTGTGTTTTTAAAAAACGTATAATCGCTACGGTCCGTGCTATTATAAATTATAAATTACACAGGCCGACAGTGTTTTTGGTGCAGCCCTATAAACATTAAATGGTGTTAATATAGACTTAGTTTTCCACTGTAACGGGTAGTATTTGTGCGTTCGCGGTTTGAAAAAAAGCAACATTTAATGTTTTGACTTCTTCTATCTTCGAGGGTCTGTGCTCAATTATAGCCTATACCTATACCAAAAAACGGTAAGAGTTAAAAAAAACAGATCCTTATATTTCAATCCTCTATCGAAAAAAAAAGTTTCGATTGATTCTGAGATTTGACCCAAATGGGCCTGTCACGTTTCACCTGGAATTACCCATATTTTTTCGGGTCCATTCCAGTGTATAACATTTAGGGCTACTGTCATATTTTTCATCAAATACTGGGTTTTTTCTTTTGCATATGCGGAGGGTAAAACGTGGTTTTTAATATATAGTTTCTTTTGCTTAGATTCTTCCTAGATTGCATCCCCCTACTATATACATATATCTGCTTGAGTACAGTTTGCAGTCTCAGTTGAAATCAGAAACTTACAAGAACATTAAACAATAATCACGTTTATGTTGTATGTTAAAGGTGCGATCGTCACTAGTTTTTCTTCTCGTTAAGAGGTGTTTATACCCGTTACTCGTAGAGTAAAAGGGTATATTGTATTCGTGCAAAAGTATGTAACAGGGAGAAGGAAGCGTTTCCGAACCTATAAAGTATATATATTCTTGATCAGGGTCACTAGCCGAGTCGATATAGTCATGTCCGTCTGTCCGTATGAACGCAATTCTTTAAAAAATGATTTTTGAGGTCTGTTTCGTGCACGTAATACACTGAACCGGATTCTTATTTGATTCAAAAGTGTTAAGAATATTGACCAGACAAAAGTTAAGACGAATTGTGGGATATGACTTCGAAAAAAAACTTTTTTTAAGGTATAGAGAGAAATATTCAATACTTATGTATGGGCCGAAGATTAGAAGGATCAAAGATCCAGCCCAAAGCTGGATTACTCTCAAAATCGAATCTTTTAGTTTATATTTAAACAGAAAAAAAATTTCGTGTAAGTTTGATCATTGGAACCGGAAAAAATCAATGGTGACGTATAATTATGAAACACTTTAAAATTAAGATTTTGTTATAACTTATGCCACGGAGGCAAATATTATATTGTTTTCACATGAAATTCTTTGTTTTGTTATAACGATTAAATACAAACACAATCACCTTAATACGACTTTTAATAAAAAAAATATTTAAGAAATTTATGGTGTCGTATAATTTTGAAACACACCTTAACTGCCATAGAAAGGTCAGAAAAAATAAGGTCAAAATAATAGAAAATTTAACATTTTTGCGATTTGTAATTTAATAGAAATGATCTGCAAGGGTATATAAGCTTCGGCTGTCCGAAGCTAGCTTCCTTTCTTGTTATAAATAAAAATCAGTGAACAACTTATAAATTTTAAATTATATTTTTAAAATTATAATCTTAATTAAATAAATAAATAAATTTATTATGTCTACAATGTTTGTTTTGTGGTTGATAAAATATGTAAATATAATTAGGTGTGCTTTAAATACGTACCAGCTGAAGTTTTAATTGGTGGACATCTAACGGTATCAGCAACAGATCCTTCTGATCCCGGATAAGCGATGAACGGTGCGATACCGACTCTGTTATTATTATTTCCAAAGCCGACCAGACCAGTTACTGCAGGAAAAAGACCAGGTCCCGAAGGAATTAAGCCTGGTCGTGGCGGAAAGTGCAATAGTGGAAGCAATGGAACAATTCCTGTTTGATTGCTAGGATACATTGATGTATTTGACAAAGGGTTGGGAACTGTCATGAATGGATCCGGACAGGGAGCATCATTTTTTTGTTTTATACCATGAATAGAATTAGTTAGGATTGAGGACGTTGTTTCAGGGGAATAAACCTTGTTAAATTCCTTTTTATTTTCTGGTAAGCTCGTGTCATATTTTGATTTGTACTTTTTTCTTTCCTTTTTATCTTTTCCATGAAAGTTTGGTAAATGTTCACTTGATACTTGGCCCGTGTTGCACAGGTTTAAAGGCTCAGTTGGCATAGCAACGTTTAAGGAATTTTTGGATAATAGCATCGCAGATGACGCCAGCGGAAGCGTAATTATATGCGTTGACTTTTCCTTTTTAGTCGTTTCAATAAGACCATGTGATGTAAAGTTCGTTTGTTTTACTACATTTTTCCCGCCAGGTTTGCGGCCTCGCTTTTTTGGCTTCACCGAATCAATAATTGACATTTCTACGTCGGCTTTAGGTGAAGATGAGGTTTGATCCAATATACCATAATTGTTAATTTTCATATTTGGTGCGTTTATGTTTTCAGGATTCAGGCCTATTGAGGGTGTTGGCGTTATAGTAGTCCCAGATGGAAGACTAATTAATGGCGGAGCGGGCAATGTGCTTCCGAATACACGTACACCTATTCCAGGAGGTAAAGAAATTGCTCCTCCATCCTGACGCGGGGTGCGTGGCTTAGAAATTTTCTTAAATATATCCAACTTATTTCGTTCCGGTTCTGATGTGTTTTTTTTTGCTGGCAATGATACTTGCGATTGTTGTATTGCACACGGCTGTGCTGGAAAAATGGAACTTTGGGAATTACTCTCAGTCTCCTTTAAAACTACAGGCGCCGCTCCAGGCAAATCAGCTGGGACGGAATTTTCTGTATTTAAACTCGGTTCAATAGGAAAGTCGCTCATAATTTGCGTGTTCTGCAAGTAGCTTTTTCCGTCAAGTTCAAGTTGAAGCCCCTTTTGCTTATGCTTGGCCTGCTTCTTTAACATCTTTTCTATTTGTATTTTATTCGAATCAGACGAGCTGCTTCCCCGATTGACTCGCTTTTTAGACTTTTTCACGTGCAGCATTTGGCTACTTGTAGCGTCATTTTGGTTCCTTGCAAGTTTTTGATACATTTTTAAAGCTTTTCGCTGCGACTTTTCTTGAGATTTACCCAAAGAATTATGAGATTTATCTCTTTGGACAGGCTCGCCTGTTAAATCCAGTTTCTGTTTTTTATTCTTCTTAGATGTTGTCGCAGTCAACGGGGTTGACATTGGAGAATTGTTAGAAGGAAATATCAAAGAGGCCTCTGCGATATCACTTGTCAATAATGCAGCATTTTGGCTAATGTTTTTAGCTTCTGAATATTGGTGGGATATTATTTTTCGTGAATTTACAGCAGCTTCTTTTTCAGATGTCATCATGTTTGGAGAATTTTCCAAAGGGTTACCAACTATCGACGATGGAGGCGGTGCATCCAAACCTTTAAATTTTTCTAGAAACAAAACGTAAATAAGTATCTTAAAGAATTTCACCGTTAGTATAGGTCGTACCAATTATATCCGGTATTACAGCTTCTGGAAGTTTGCCTTCGATAGCTGGACTAATAAATCCGCCGGTAGTCATCACCACGCTGCTCAATTCGCGGACTGAGCGGCCAATATCCGAATCAAAGGAATTTGACGGAAAATTAATTACCGCGTTGGGAGAAAGGGACTCCAAGTGGTTGGTGCCCAGTTTGTCCGCCGAACTTGTCGCATCGGGCTCTGCCTTGGTCGCAAATTCCCGTTTTTGGGAAAATTCTTTTTGAGCTTCGGTTTGAATATCTCGTGGTTCGGGGTCTTGCATTGGTGGCAAATACTCAAAAATGTAGACAGGTCGGGTCAGGGTTTCTGCGCTTCCAGGCTTGAGAAAGTTCATATTTACAGCTTTTTTTATAGGATACTGTGGTACGTCTCTTGTGAAACCCACAGGCTCCACATTCCCTATGTAATCCAATAGTTCTTGAACATTAATATTAAGATTTTTCATACTGAGGTGTGCATCCTTAAGACTAGGCTCGATCCGATTTGCTAAAACAATAAGAATTATTCCAAATTCAATATAATTAATATCTTGTACGATCGCGATCAGCATTGAGTTCTTCAAAATATTTATGAATAGACAACAAAGGAACGTGGACCATTAATACTGATGGATATACATTTCTGTTGGATTTCATTGTAGCAGCTTTTAACCGCTTCCAATAATTTGATTAATTGGTGGCTTATTAACAGTAAAGTAGACGGATCGGGGAGGCTTCGCCAAGCGGTCTGTTGAATAGGGTCGTACACAAAACATACCGTGTTCCATATGACAATGGAGGTCTCGAGCAAACTCCTGCGTAAACTTCTGCAATATATCTTGCAACAACTCCAAGGGTGCACTCAGTGTGCAGCTGTAACCAATAGTTTGTGTTATCTGCGCAATAACAACAAGCGCCAGATCTGAAGAATATTTGTCTGCCATTGTAGTTCCTCATGTGTACGCCTTGTTTCTTGGGTTATGAGATATCACCCCAGAGTGGCGAGCAATTAGTGTGATCTCTGTAGCGACTTAGAAGCTGTTTTATAAATGATTATTGTAATTTTGCCAGGGAAAACAGTCCCTGTTCTTTTGTGTACACCTTATATTTTACCACCGTCAAACTATCGATGGCACTATCGATAGTATCGAGGGTTGGGCGTCAGCTTATACCCTCTGCACACAGCCGCTTAAAATTGCAACAGCGAACTGTGTTCCCACAAAGAATCGCTTAGGCGCGCAGCTAATCGGCACAAGCAACTCTAAAAAAAAACATAGATCATTTTCTGAGTTCCTAGCCGTTGCAAGGCTAGGAGCATAGAGTCAAACCTCCGCGGAACATATCTCCGCCCTTCTACATACGACATATCTCCACGCGGACGAAATGCACTGGACGGAGATATGACGGCGAAGATATGTCGCTATCCCATACTGAATACTTTCCACAGCAGCGCAGTTGTAGAGACATTCTAGCACATTAATTTGTTATGTAGAAAAAGTCGCTGAAGCGGTATTTAGTCCCTTAAGTAAAAACCTCCTCTGTGTGCACAGGCAATTATACCATCGATGGTTTAAATCACAAGATTGCAGTTTGATTTTGCAGTTTTAAATCTATCTCAAAAATGTAAATATTTCATTAAATATATATATATAAATTATGTATTGATAGTTGTAAATAACTTTAGCGTTCTTCGTCCCTCCTTCCTGTTGTCAATTAAAATATCTTATCTTTTCGACAAGTTAAAATAAGTGTCGCTTTCTAAAATGTGGTTAAACTTGTTCAATTTAACTTGATTGTCATCAATTAAAATAAATTGCTTATTTCCAGAAGTAGCGTTTTTGGGAAACAAGACTTTCAACAACAAATTGTTTAATTGGTCGGAAACACTACTATTATTTTGAGTACGTAGATTCGAAAGATAAGGAGTGATACCATTAAAATGCATTTACAGAAAATAAAACCAAAATCCATTTGCCTATAATACCCCAAAAGTTGTAAGTTTACAGAATTTTTCCAACTTTGAGTTCATTTTTCTCGGAATCCTTGCGTCGGGAAATTTTTTTGAAATAGCATTTTAAGTTGTACAATTTGGCTCATTCATCAGAGCTAAGTGAAATGGGATCAATTATAAAAAGGAATTTTATTGTAATTTTATATTTTATTATATTGTCGCTCGGGACATTTGCACACCTTTAAAGTTGAAAAAAATTTGCAAAAAAATGGATTTTATTTTTAATAATGGTCTTTCCTTTTCACTCTTCCCAAGCTCTATTTTGTGTAAAAATCTTGATTTTGTACCACTTTTAGCTCTTAAGATATCGTTAAAAAACTGCCGTATTCGCTCGGGACAAAAATAGAAGTGATTTTCGGGGAATATTTGAATGCGTTTTTTTTTAGAATGTTGTCCAAAATGTCGCTTTAAAATGGTTTTGGTTTTACTTAAAAATGGTTTGCCGTTTTTTTTATGCAGTTTCAACCACATTCGCTCGGGACATGTCGCCCGGGACATTTTTTCTTAGCGTTTTGTAAAGTGTATTTCTTTACCTCTATCCCTCAATTACTGTCTGTTTTGCTTTTAACTTAATAGTTTAACATTTAAATGAAGCATTCAGTACAGAAAAATGTTACATATTAGCATTCCTAAAGGATAAATTTACAACTGAAGACGGGTCCAAAAAATAACAAAAAATTAGCCAAAAACTGATTTTTGCGTATATTGGTGTGGTTTGTCATAAAAATAATCAAAATATTCTCCAAATTTGTAGTTAAGCTCAGTATCCAACTAATTAGAAACTAATATCGGGGCAAAATTATGTGGAAATATGTTTTATTCAAGTTTCAAGGTTTTTGGCTTGGTGGACTTTTTGGTGGAAGTGCCCATATACAAACAAGAACAACAAAAATAGTATGAAAGCTAAATTGAGAAATTACTGCGTCTATAAATTAATATTTAAATAACGGATTAAAAAGGTCTGTTTATGTGGCAGAACACACTGGTCGCGTTCAGCAGAACAGCATGATCACTGATCACTGATGGATCAGTGCAAAGGCCCCGGCTAAAGGCGTTAACTACCTACATATGTATTTGCCTCTTGCTTACTCATATGCTAGCTCGCAGTTTTGTCCACGTGAGTACTTGGCTTTACTGCATAGTGGACTCCGTGGAAAAAGCATATAAAAATCATTCTTTGAATACCTTCATTTTTTGACATTTAACTTTAACCAGCGCACAGCCACGTAAAAATAAATATGTAATAATAAATGTTAAATTTCGACTGCTATATTCGCCAACTATTTTTTACAGTATTATTTTTAACAGTCGTTTACCTCTTGGTTTAACTATTTTGTAATTATATCGTATATTACGTATTTTTGTGCATGAAAAATAAAGTAAAAATTCCATCAATGAAAAAAAATAATATATAAATATATACGTACATAACTACGGTTACTTAGGCGTGAACCAATATTTATACGTAAATGAACATTTTTTTCCAGCTTTAAGGCTTTTTGTCTAAGTAAATTATATATATTTACATTTGGTATAAAACATTTTTATTTCTTATATTTTTTTTAAAATGATTGGTATTTCTTGTAATTGTGTACGCGTTTTTAGGCATAATACATATTGAGAATTCAGAAAATTAATAAGGTTTAAACAAAAATGTTTTATTTTAAAACAAGAAATTGAGCAAAAACGGGCCTCACGAAAATACGCTTTGCAACAAATGGTCGATACATTCTTGGCTCGTGACTTCTGTATATTGAGCTCTAACAGTACCAAATTATCGTACACTGATAAAAAAAAACAGCTTTGATAGCGTAAACATTTTATCACTAAAGTACCACATAAAGTATATACATATACATATGTATTCTGATCAGGACCAATAGCCGAGTCCATCTAGCCATGACCATCCTTCAGTTTAAAAGCTATCGCGATGAAACTTCCAATAAGTATTCTTTCTACCTGCCATAGGTAGTAAATATGTCTGATCGAGCCGGATCGGACCATTATAAGTATATAAGCCATAAGATTATGGCTCCCAAAATTGAAAAAATAACAGAAAAATCGAGAGTGAACTAGAAGGTAAAGATTTTCCACACATATTCTTGGGCCTCCTACGCTGCGCAAGTTTATTTCAGCCGAGCGCCACGCCCCCTCTAACGCCCACCATCGCCCACTAACCTTTTTAAAATGTGTCTAGCGCCCACACCTTTAAAGATATAGGTAGGTTTCCGAGAAGTATAAATGCAATTTTGTTGTGTATGTTTATACCTATCGAAATGTAGAAGACATTTTTTTTCAAATCGGACCATTCATTTAAAAGTTATATGCAATCAAAATTGTTTATATATTTATCTCCCTCGCACTCCCCTTAGCTGAGGTTCGAATATTAGATAGTCGGGACACCAACCCGAGTACAGCGTTCGCACTCCCTTTAGCTAAATGACGGGTATTAGATAGTCGGGACACCAACCCGACTATAGCGTTCTCTCTTGTTGAAGTTAAGAACTTAAAAAATGTTCTCAAACTTCAAATTAAAAGAACAACTTGCAACTTTACACGTTTTTATTGCCCAGGATATATTAATAAATTTTGTGTATAATACATTTAAATTTAAATTGTTCAACCATAATTTTTAAACTATTGTATTAAATCGAATTAAGTTAAAAAGGCGTTTAAGTATTTCAAAATACATTTTAAACGGGGTGTAGCACATGACTGTAGCTTTAGTAGTTCAGAATTTACAAACTTACGTAATCTAGCTATTTGTAGCTTTTTTCCCGCTAAAGTAGCGGGTTTTTCCAAAAGTCGTAAAATAAAAGTTTTTGTATATTAAACTGCTTAAAACTATGGCATATACATAAATAGTGTTAAGAAGGCGTTTATTGTACTTCAAAATACCTTTAATATGAGGTAAAGCACAAGTCTGTAGCTAAAGTATTTCGCCAGTTATGGGCTTACAAAATGTAGCCATTTATAGCTGTTTTCCCGCTAAACTAGCGGGTTTTTCCAAAAGTGGTAGAACAAAAGTTTTTTATATCGATGTGATGAACGTCATGTCAAAATTTCAGAACTTAAAAAACATATTTTGGACAAGTGGACAAACTGACAAACAGAATTAAATTTTCATTTTGGGAAGAAGAAGAAAATCTTATTTTGGCTATAACTTTTGAACGGAGCGTCGGAATTTATCATATGATAAATTCGACGGGTATTTTCAATAGGAACACAACTAAAACATTGCGAGGGGGCATTTATCCCCACCGGCCCCAACAGCTCCAAATTTCGAAATTTGCACTTTTTTACTGCTCTCTCTCCCAAGCCAATTGATTTTCTTAAAGTCTTGGTATGCAATCCTTTAATCCTTTTTTTTTGCAATACCTTTCGATTGGTGTATTACTCATTACGATCGGACTATCACAGCAGATTTTCAATTTTGCGGCTATATAATAGTAGTCGCCTTCGCACACTCTCCTGGTGCGCTTCGTCACTACATGGACTGCCGTCCATAGTGATACATATATTTTTATTTGACTTGCTGGCTAACGAACAGACTACCGGCAGCAGCAACAAATATAGGACGCCAACTGAAATGGTACGCTTGATCAGTGTAGCATACTTACAGGCGTAAAGTTCCCTACATTTTTCAGGTGACAAAATTTCCCCAGTGGTGTGGCGATTTTACCCCCCTATGTGGCGAGATTGCCCCAGTATATTGGTTTTACTTTATAATTTTTTATAAATCACCAAGGTAATTAAAACAAGAGAGAACGCTATAGTCGGGTTGGTGTCCCGACTATCTAATACCCGTCACTCAGCTAAAGGAAGTCCGAACGCGGGTTGGTGTCCCGACTAATAATCGTAACTCAGCTAAAGGGAGTGCGAGGGAGATAGATATATGTAGATATTTTGATTGCGTTTAACTTTTTAATGAATGGTCCGATTTGAAAAATGACTTCTACATTTCGATAGGTATAAATATACACAACAAAATTGCATTTATACTTCTCGGAAATCGTTAAAGATGTGGGCGCAGGACCCATTTTAAAATCGTTAGTGGGCGATTGTGGGCGTTAGAGGGGGCGTGGCGCTCGGCTAAAATAAACTTGCGCTGCGTAGGAAGCCAAAGAATATGTGTGGAAAATCTCAACCTTCTAGCTTTTGTAGTTTCAGAGATCTCAGCGTTCATACAGACGGACAGACGGACATGGCTAGATCGACTCGGCTAGTGCCCCTGATCAAGAATATATATACTTTATGGGGTCGGAAACGCTTCCTTCTAGCTGTTACATACTTTTGCACGAATCTAATATACCCTTTTACTCTACGAGTAACGGGTATAAAAATAGGGGAATGTCACATTTTAAAGCTTGGTGCTAACCGCATTCAACAATAAAAATAGAAATATGATAACGTGTTTTAAGATGGACAAAAAATAGCTTTGAAAAAATGCTGACGAAATTACCCCACTCTCCCCTACTATTAGACTAATTGGATAAAAAAAGTGACAACAACAAACCTTTAAAAACACAGGGCGACAATACTACCACTATTTTGACCGCAGCTGTAAGCTTTGAGGTCCTTTTGCTAAGAATCCTTGCGTCGGGGAACTTTTTGGAAAACGCAGTTTAACTTGGGAATTCGCAACGAATCCAAAAATATAGCATCCATCGAGGTAAATTTTTGATGCTGCAAAGTGTTATTTGTTGAGTTTTTTTCAATCGCTCAAAGAATAATTATTATAATTGTGAGCGAAAAAAATATCGATCTAAAAATTATGATTATTTTTTGAGCTTTATTTTTTTGCTCAAAATATCGCTCAAATTGCAACATCTTCCATATATACAACAAATTTTTTTAAAATTTTTTTTCAAATCTGAAAATTGCTGCGCATTTTTACTTTGATCGATATTTTGAGCGAAAAAGTAACGCTAAAAAAATAATCATTATTTTTTTTTCGATATTTTTTTCGCTTATAATTATAATAAGTATTCTTTGAGCGATTGAAAAAAACTCAACAAGTAATTATTAAAATGGAGTAAATTTTATAAAAATCAATAAATAATCATTCAATATTGATGAATATTATATACATATTGATATATATTATCTAGGATTTTGTTGTGGGGGGTGATATTAGAACAATTTTTTTGTTGCACACTTTTGGAATACCAAAATTCCTTTAATTTTTCACCCGAGTGGGGGGTGATATATCACCCCGTGGATCCGTGCATGATCACTTATAATGATTACGGTCCCTGGAAAAAATATAATGACCGAGATCGCTTACTCACACAATAGTATTGAAGTTATATAAAAATTCAATTGGGCTATGAGTATTGGCTAGGCTAACATTTTTTTCATTGAAAGGCTTTGTCTAAATGGTCTAGAGTAAAAGGGTATATTGTATTCGTACAAAAGTATGTAACAGGGAGAAGGAAGCGTTTCCAACCCTATAAAGTATATTTATTCTTGATCAGGGTCACTAGCCGAGTGGATATAGCCATGACCGTCTGTCCGTCTGTCCGTCCGTCCGTCCGTCCGTCTGTCCGTCCGTATGAACGCTGAGATCTCGGAAACTACAAAAGCTAGAAGATTGAGATTTTCCACACATATTCTTGGGCTTCCTACGCAGCGCAAGTTTATTTCAGCCGAGCGCCACGCCCCCTCTAACGCCCACAAGCGCCCACTAACAATTTAAAAATGTGTCTGGCGCCCACACCTTTAAAGATTTTCGAGAAGTATAAATGCAATTTTGTTGGGCATATTTATACCTATCGAAATGTAGAAGACATTTTTCAAATCGGACCATTCAATAAAAAGATATACGCCATCAAAAAAATGTTATATATCCATCTCCCTCGCACTCCCTTTAGCCGAGTGACGGGTATTAGATAGTCGGGACAACAACCCGACTATAGCGTTCTCTCTTGTTACAAATACACATAGGACTTCATTTCTTTTGACACTAGGCTAAAATTAAAGGTCTTGATTAGAACTATAATACGTGCTAGGGCAGACTTTGGGCCATTATTCGTTTTAAAGATATATATAAAATTCCAAGCTTTTTGCACGCGACATCAAGAAGTGAATTTTTTTACTTCCAGCCCAACTTTCGATTGTAGAGAAACGTTCTTTCTTTTTAAAATGTGTTTGGTTTTGTTACAAAATATTGAGAAGCTATTTTTTATTTGCATTGAAGTGACTGTCACACGCTAGTTGCACTCGACAGTTTTTTTCTTCGTTTACGCATATCTAACACGTTTTTCTTTAACCTTAACGACAAAAAAAATGGTTTAAAAGCCACTTTAAAAAATACTAAAATAAGGACATTTTTGTTCTTATTATAGTGATTGTTCTGAAAAATTATTCAAGGATACTCAAATTTCTTAACTTAGTTGAGGTATAATTTGAACATGAATTCGAGTATTGATAAAGCGAAACACTTTTTCGCTGAAAGTGGGATCCTAGGACCAACCAACTTAAAGGACTCACATGACTTTATTCGGAAAACATCTACAATTCACATTGATACTAGCCTACAGAATCAGGTGAGGGATAAGATGATTTACATATGTAGATTTTATGACATGTTATTTTCAACACAGATACGAAAAACATCATTGTGTTTGCGGACGAGGGTCTTTAACGAAACAAATACTTTGAACACCTTTGACGATTCCATACTTAATCTTCAAAACGAAATCTGTAACATAAGAGAAGCTTTAGTCAACGGCGAGACTAAAATTGTAATTCTCCGAACTGAAATTGGTAAACTAAAGGTAAGAAAAGGTTTTATTAAAAAGTCAGCAAATACCTAAGAGGTCTGAAGATCCCATTTAATTTTTGTTTTGTTATTGGAAATGATATTTTGGGTACATGTTTGCTTAGTAATATTACAAAAATTGTAAGTGTATCGAAACAAAATGTTTATAAAGTACCTAGCTTTCATTTTTGTTCCGAATTCGGTTAGAAGAAAATCCTGGATCAACACATATTGTTTTCATTTTATACACACAAAATATAAAGCCCATCCACTATTTTCTATACCGGAATTATAAATATCATTAAATTGTTTAACTTTTTATATTCTTATAGCAAGCACTTCAAGCAATAATCCATGTCCACATGGAAGCTCGAAACTACCCCGATGAAATTACCATGAAAACTAAAAATCCCACGCCGAGTCTTTGTTTATTTTGCCAACCCATTAATAGTTCCATTAAAGGATCGCCAAGCAGCAGCTCTACCTATACCAACAGAAGCAAAACTTATAAGCCAAATAATAAAGTTGTAGGTGAAAGAATGAAGAACAAAGTTTGGATCGATGGCAAATAAAAGCACTCAAGAAATAAAAACATACTTATTGTTTTTTATATATTTTGTTTTGATTTGTGTTGTTAGAGTACAATAAATTGTATTATTATTAGCCGAAGCAGAATTATTATATTTAATATTACACTTTATTGAGGTTAATTTTATCTATTACATTTGCAATAATAGCGTAATATATACAATAAATTAATAACGTTATTATAACATATTTTTTATACTAAAAAATGTTTAAAAACTTAGTTTCTTAGAAAGCACTTTGTAAGGTTAGGGACAAACAAGAATTGCACTTATCCCTGAAATTAAAATTACAACTGGAGCATTTCAAAATTGATGTATGTATAACTAAATAACAAAGTACAAATCAAAAAATGTTGGAGAATTCTATTATTGATATTGTTATTATTAACTGAAAATTCACTATTACTAGATTATTTGAACTTGATTACAACAATGTATCCTACTCTATGAATTATAAATTATAAGTTTACATATGATATTTAGCTAGTAGAGAAAACGGTTGAGGCCTCCAATATTTGTGTTATGATAATTCTTAATTGGTAAATATAAATTGCAACTGTAAATTATGGCCTTTATTTTTATGAATGCATCATTCTTCGATCGAATCATAAAGAAATTCGAGGAAAAAGTACATGAATATGTTTCAATAAAGTAAATAAATGGCACAAGCTCAAAGTGATTTCGAAGCTTACGTTAAAGCCAAACCAAATTTTCTTTCAAATAAAATACAGCCATTTGACAAACAACGCAGCTCTTTATTAAAGTTAGTGAAAAATATCTTTATTAAATTATTTTTTTTTTATAAGTCTCAACAACTAAATAAAATAAAAAGAACTTTCAGCATGAATACTAAGAAAGTATATAACAATCTAGCCATGTCCGTATGAACGTGTTTTACATAAAGGGAGACCTTGTATTTATAAGCGGAATATTTATGACACATTTGGGAACCTTTGCAAAAGACAGATTAGATTAAAGAAATGCAATAATGTTCATCCCATATAATTGTATATTAATTGTTCGTATATAATATTTCTTAAGGGGGAAAATTCATACTTTACATATTCTTCAAGATTTTTTGTGAAACTAAATAATTCTTCAATTTTAAATCTTGGAGGTCAAAGGTGAATAAACACAAGAAAATAAGTTTATAAACTCTATGAGTTAAATCCGCATAATGGTATAAACAGCATAATATCGAAACATTATAAATATGCATCGAATTTGTACATAAATAAACCGATATATTCTATGACAGCTGTATGATTTATTTGCCCAATCGGATAATTGCATTGAAAGCAATATTATGTAGATTTCCGATTCGAACTGTTTCACGCAGAAAGCTTTAAAAGTGAGAGACCTAGCGTGTTATCCGATAGAGTAGGGCCCATTTTCTCGTCCGCCTGTTAAACTTAAAGTAGGGTTTCCAATACGATTTAAAGGTTTTAACCTTACTTTATACAATTATGGTCTTGCTGATAAAGAACGTATCTTCTTTATAAGGGTTTGGACTTGCTCTTTTTTAATACATCATTTATGAAAATTCAGATTTTGTATATTATATTTGTATGTATCTTCCCTCTTAAGTGATAAATATATGGCTCACATTAAAAATACATAAAAGGTTTACAAGGTTTAAATATTCTAACTGCATTTTCATTTTATTAAGAATTGTCTATTGAAAACGTACGGAGTTTGTTGTTTTATCCAACATTTAGGATTTAAATTGCAAAATTCCACATATTTTCTCAGACTAAAAGACTTAGGGCCGGTTTCTCGAGTGCCGGCTAACATTTCTCGAACAGATAAAGTCCCTGCTAAGTCATTTTGGCTTTCTCGAGCACCAATGTGAGAGCTAGCTTTGAAAGCTACTCGGAGTCCCTGTTAAGCGTTTTCGGCTCGATAGAATGACAGCTGATTTCCCAAAGCCAACTATGAAGAAGAAACGAAATCACAGGTGGCTTTTCCTTTTAATTATACCCAAACAGCTGATGAAATAATCGAAGCACGCCATTTTTTGCGCTTTACAGCACAATTCTGTGCGTTCACAGTACTCTGTAATTGTTTCTCGTTCAGATAAATTAAAGCAGTCGAGAAAGCGGATTTGCTTTTACGAACAGTTTATCTGGTCTTTAAGTTTTTCGAACAGATAACTATCAGGGACTTTGACAGGGACTCGCGAAACCGGCCCTAAAAGCTTATAGCTTTCTATGAAAATCAAGCATCGAATTGTTAAAGTAAGTGTAAAAGTTTAGCAGTACTCTCCACAGTATTGGGGGAGGGAAGTTCGTAATTTGTACTATTTGATACACTGTAAAGGCACTGCAATTTAAAAAAAGAAGACGAATTAGCAGGCTTTCCAACGATTAATAATTCAATATAAAATATTTATGTGTGGCCTTGGGCTCTTAATAGTAATCTATTTTGTTTTGATTTGTGGTCATCTTGGTTAACAACATTTTATTTGTTTATGGGAAATAAGTATTTTGCAGAAGCCCATACATAAAATCCGAAATAACCTTATCGTATTATAGTGGGCGCGGCCCTTTTCTTGGGTCAATAGATAGGTTTTGACGAAACAAATGCATTTAATTAAATAATTCTAGCCTCAAAACTGTGGACACCACAGGCTTTAGCGATATTTGGGCGATAGAGTGGGTAGCAATTGACTGAAACAAACACACGCATGCCTAAAAAAAGTGTCTAGTTATTAAAGTTTCCGAGATTTTAGCGTTCATACGGACAGATGTACAGGCTGATGTGGCTGGTTAGACTGGTTAGTTATCCTGATCAAAAACTAATAATAATAATTAATATTTCTTTATTTAATCGGAAACCTGTTACTTTAATTGAGTACAATAAGCCGTTTTAATCTCCGTTTAAAACCTTGTTTGGAAACTAAAATGTATTTCTACTAGCAGTATTGTCATAAATGAATTAAATTCTAAACTGATACAAAATAATAAAAAAATAATATTTAAATGTAGGCCTTCAAAACCTAAGTTTTGCTCAATCAAACCAATGTGATCCATGGCATTACGATTACAAATTGATAATTGAACATTAGGATTTTATTAGAACAGCACACACACATCGACATGATTCGCTGAGCAAATCCTTCACACAAACAAAATTCCAACTTTACATTGCTACACTGCTAAAAACAATTCGAAGATCTTTGAGCCACTGGTTTTGTTTGTCAAATAGCTGAATAAAAATATAGTACTATAAGTTAAGACAGTTTTAGACTCAAACCACCATGACTTACTGTTGTGAAGCGCAATTTAGATTGCTGCAAACCTGAAGCTATTTGATTATTCTAAGTTATGTCTATAACGACGAAGCCGCGCACTATTTTCCGTTTTGGGATCTCCAGGGGGTGGCGAAATGTTGCATTTAGGTTGTAGCTCAGCGGAATATTCATTCGTTGGTACATTATTTGATTCTTCGCTTTGAACAACTTGGGCACCAATTAGTCTATTTTTTTCCGCGCTTATAAGAGTACCGTTATCATCAAAATTTCCTAACATTGTATTGGGAATGCCACGTGTCCTTTAAAGATATGTGAATACGATTAGAATTAAGCATATAATATGTATACATTTTTTGGGTAAGACACATATACCTGCTAGAAGTTCGTGATCGGGGTCTTTGGAATTTTAATTGCAATTGCGTTGGGTCTGTGACATACTTTCCTTCACTAGATTCCCTCCGACGACGTAAGCCTAAATGAATATAATAAATAATATAAATAGTAGTAACAGGTAAAGAAAGCATATTTAAGAGTATTTAGTCCATACTGTGTGTTATAAAAATTCCTACCTAGATATGCAAAAATCTGAGGGTCTTGAAAAGAGTTATGTTTGTATTTAGTTGCGTGATTCTGATAAATATTTAGTTCCTTATACAACATGTACACATGCATGAGAGAGGTCTGGAACTTGGGATAGCCGAGTTTTTCAGAGATTTTAGTGACAAAACGTAGCCAGATTTAAGCTGTAACAGATCTTGCACAAAATAAACAAGAAAGGAAGCTAGCTTCGGCAAGCCGAAGCTTATATACCCTTGCAGATCATTCTATTAATTTACAAATCGCAAAAATGTTACATTTTCTATTATCTCACATTAATTTTTCGATCGTTTCTATAGCAGCTATATGATTTAGTAGTTCGATTTTTTAAACTTAATATCAAAATTCGGAAATATTTAAAAATAGTCATATCCCAGAGTAGAAGAGAATGTAATAAAAATTAACAAAGGTATACATTTTTTTCCTATTAATTTCCATTTAATTTTTCGACCGTTCCTATGGCAGCTATATGATATAGTGATCCGATTTTTTAAATATTTAATTCGAAATTCAGAAATATATAAAAAAGTATATTCCCAAGAGTAGAAGGTAATATCACTATGGACGGCAGTCCATGTAGTGACGAAGCGCACCAGGAGAGTGTGCGAAGGCGACTACTATTATATAGCCGCAAAATTGAAAATCTGCTGTGATAGTCCGATCGTAATGAGTAATACACCAATCGAAAGGTATTGCAAAAACTTAAAGGATTGCATACCAAGACTTTAAGAAAATCAATTGGCTTGGGAGAGAGAGCGGTGAAAGTGAAAAAGTGAAAATTTCGAAATTTGGAGCTGTTGGGGCCGGTGGGGATAAATGCCACCTCGCAATGTTTTAGTTGTATTCCTTTTGAAAATACCCGTCGAATGAGGGGTCATTTGTCAAAATCCGACGCTCCGTTCAAAAGTTATAGCCAAAATAAGATTTTCCTCGTCTTCCCAAAATGAAAATTTAATTCTGTTTGTCAGTTTGTCAGTTTGTCAGTTTGTCCAAAATATGTTTTTTAAGTTCTGAAAATTTGATATGACGTTCATCACATCGATATAAAAAACTTTTGTTCTACCACTTTTGGAAAAACTCGCTAGTTTAGCGGGAAAACAGCTATAAATAGCTAAAATTCGGAATTCCGTAACTTCTATACTACTAAAGCTACAGACTTGTGCTGCATCTCGTTTGAAAGGTATTTTTAAATGCTATAAACGCCCTCTATATGCAATTTGTGTAAATGTAATAGTTAAAAAGATATGTACAAAAGACATTTTTTTTAAACTTTCTTTTTAGCTTTTTTTTAATTTTCTCAAAAACGGCTCTAACGATTTTCTTTACAACTTTAAACTGTATAGCCCTTGAGATTCCTTAAATTTTGGTATATAACACATTACTGTAAAAAGTCACGTTTAAAAGTTATTTTTATACGAAAATAGCCACTTTTGCCAGCTCGAACAACTAACGCTCCCTGAGTATTGAATTTTGTGTGAGGGTATACGAACTGTATTTTAGGGTCATGGAATCAGTAAATTTGCACTTAAGAGTTCCATATAGGAATCTTTTGTTCTACGACTTTTGGAAAAAGCCGCTACTTCAGCGGGAAAAAAGCTAAAAATAGCTAAATTTCGTTAGTTTGTAAGTTCAACACTACTAAAGCTACAGACATGTGCTATAACTCGTTTAAAAGGTATTTTGATATACTTCATCGCCTTTTTAACTTAATTCGTTTAAATACAATGGCTTACAAATTATGATTGACCAATTTAAATTTAAATGTATATATTAGCTCCTATGAGAGCAAATGTAAACAAACAAAAACTTCTGATATCAAATAAAAACACCTCTTAACGAGGTAAAAAACTAGTGACGATCGCACCTTCAACATACAAAAGTTCTGATATCAACATTTGTGACGAAAAATTATTACACTCGTCATTAAATAGACTTTCTAATATTTTCTCATTCGGGCCGCCCTAGCAAACTATTCCAGCCCTTTTCCCTTCACAGGCATTTTCTATTGCAGCGTGCCGAATGAGAAAATATTAGAAAGTCTATTTAATGACGAGTGTAATAATTTTTCGTCACAAATGTTGATATCAGAACTTTTGTATGTTGAAGGTGCGATCGTCACTAGTTTTTTACCTCGTTAAGAGGTGTTTTTATTTGATTTAAAGAAACACCAAAGCTAGAATTTTTTTAACGTTTTTTTTTCGATTTATTTCGATCTTTTCTATGGGAGCTATAAGATATAGTTATCAGATCCGGTCGGTTCCGACATTTATACTTCCTGCAATAGAAAGAAGACTTTTGGGAAAGTTTCATCCCGATAGCTCAAAAGCTGAGAGACTAGTTTGCGTAGAAACAGACGGACAGACGGACATGGCTAGATCGACTCGTCTGGTGATGCTGATCAAGAATATATATACTTTATGGGGTCGGAAACGTCTCCTTTACTGCGTTGCAAACTTCTGTCTGAAATCATAATACCCTCTGCAAGGGTATAAAAATCGGGCATTCCGATAGTATCAACTACAAAAATTAGTCGATGTTATTAAAAAAAAATGGAACAATTAGTTTTTTTTTATGCCAAAGAAAAAATAACAAACTTAGTTTTATTTAAACTAAAAACAAGAGAGAACGATATAGTCGGGTGCTCCGACTATCAGGTACCCATTACTCAGCTAAAGGGAGTACGAGGGAGATGGAGATATAATACTTTGATCGGGCATAACTTTTTAACGAATTTGATTTGAAAAATTTCTACATTTCGATAGGTATAAATAAACACAACAAAATTGCATTTATACTTTTCCGAAATCTTTAAAAATGTGGGCGCCAGACACATTCTAAAATCGCTCGTGGGCGATTGTGGACGGTAGAATGGGCGTGGAGGTCGGCTGACACAAACTTGCATTGCGTAGGAAGCCAAAGAATATGTGTGGGTAATCCCAACTTTCTAGCTTTTGTAGTCCGAGATCTCAGCGTTCATACGGACTCTACGAGTAACGGGTATAAATAAAATAGTAGAAAAGGTTTCGACGTTTGCATTCAAACCAATCCTACATAATAAAAAAAAATAATCTTGTTTAACAGAACAACAATTAAAAATGAGACAAACCTGGTGTCAGATCCGTTATATGAGGAGGATATTCTAAAGCAATGGAGTATGTGGTTTTGCGAACAGGTGTATTATCCGTTACAGAATTTGGCGTGTCAATTTGGGGGTTGTGAGGGTTTTCCAGAAGGGCTTCTATGGACTCAAGTGTCTTAGCTGAATTTATTGTAGAGTCAGCACCCGCCCACGATGCACATTTTGATTGGCGTACTGGTATTTTGCTAGGATTCAACAGTGGAAGATCACAGCCTGACTCAGTTTCCCCGTAACCGTCAGTGCTGCCTCGCGTCAATGGAGATTTAGAGTCACCTGCATTGGTAATTGCTTGATCATTCATTGTTTTGCATATTTCACTATTTCCATTCAACTTTAGTTTATTGATACCGGCGGAATTTACGTTACAGCAATTAGCTTCGGTTGTATCCTTGTAGATTGGAGTCGTAAATTTATTGATTGTATTTGTTGGGGAAGCTATCAGTGCAGCTTTTGCTTCTATTTCATCACAGTAATTAAGGGCTTTATCAGAAAGGTCGGGGGCTTGATTTGCGGTTGGAGTATTTTTGACAGCTGCCAGTGCATCATAGTAAACAGAATCGTCCAGATGAGAAGTTTCTATGCAAGGGAATATACCAGTATGTTATATTAGACGTGAAGTAATGGAGTTTTTCTTGAGGAATTAGAATACAAAATAAATCTTTTTGTAAATATATCAAGAAAATGTATTTCTATAATATTTCATATAAACAAGATAACAAGAAGGTAAGATTAAGTAATCAGTTTTTTTCTAAAATTCATGCCATAGCAAAATCTAGTTTTGCTCGCATAGTTTTCATTGATCTTATTATCCCTTTTTACAGCGGTTGGCACACCATAAATGTTTAGTATAAAAATATTATAACTTCTTAAATAACAAAAGAACAATAACAATAGACCAATCTAACCAAATCTGTCTGCTTACAATATCGTTCTACCATAACGTATTTGTAGTTGTAACGCGAATTTAGAAAAGTAATTTTGACTTAACATATCTTTCAGCATCGGTACTCCAATGGCTCCAATTATGGCCTGTCTCAACAATTTGTTTCTATTTTATTTTCTATTTTATAAACCTGAAAACGCGACTAATACGCACTGTGGGCATCATTTAATGCTAATCGGGTAGTTACGTTATTGTGTAACGCAGATGTCTGATTGAAAACATTTTCATTAAGCTAAATTCTTTTTAATAATTACCTTTTGGAATAACGCGAATTTCTAGTCGTCCACTAATACAACCGTTGTTTTCTTGGACCGCTGAACTTAAAGCCAAATTACTTCTTTGGCAAGCAGTGGTATGTACTTGCCAAGGTTTATTAGCGCCTTCCGCCAGCATAGCGTCTGAACTCGATTGCATCGGTTGGTCGTCAAATAAATCGGTAACTGAAACATTAGGAAGGCTGCTCCGGTGTTTCGATTTAGCTTGACTATCGTTCGAAGTATTGAACTGGAACGCTGTGTCCTCTTTAAAAGGGGCAGGGACACACCTTGAAACCAAGGAAGCGGTAGGCTTAGGATTCGCCAAAGGAGTGATTTCTGAATAGGTTTCTCGCACACAAACATTCCTTGCTATATCCATGCGATATACCTAAAAGTTTAGATCATTACTAAATTACAAGCCTTTGGTTTTCGTCAGCGTAAACGACAATCAAAATTGTTTTTATATCTTTAATGATTTATAAAACGTTTACATTTCTTTTGTCGATTTCGCATTAAGATACTTAAAATGTCTTCCGGTAAAGTGGACACCAAATTACGGCATGCAATTTTTTATTTCATTCTATTTATTTGTATGTTTTTAATATGCTTACTGTGTCATCAAAAGCGGCTTGTTGCACAGCCGGTGGTTCCAAGTCTTTACGTAATACATTACCCATTGCAGGTTCAGACCAGCAGTGCGGTATAGAGATTCTCAATGCTTCATAATTTTCGATTCCAGTTATGTTTAGTGTATACCTACGAAAAAAATCAGAAATCCTATTTATAGAACTTAAAATGCAAAGAACTTTAAATTAATTGAAATTAATTCAATGTCTTAGGTCTGAATACTGTAAAAAATATAATTATACCCGTTACTCGTAGAGTAAAAGGGTACATTGTATTCGAGCAAAAGTATGTAACATGTAGAAGGGAGCGTTTCCGACCCCATAAAGTATATACATATTTTTGATCAGGATCACTAGCCGAGCCGATCTAGCCATGTCTGTCTGTCCGCATGAACGCTGAGATCTCGGAAACTACAAAAGCTATAAAGTTGGTATTAATATTATAATATTATAATGTTATATAATATTATAATATATATGAATATTCCTGGGGTGATCAATGATATATTTTTAGTGTCGGAATCGTCCCGTTATACCCGTTACTCGCAGAGTAGAAGAGTGTATTGGATTTGTGAAAAAAGAATGTAACAGGTATAACGAAGAGTTTTCGACCTTACAATGAATGTATATTTTTGGTCGCGATCATTAACCTAGTGGATCTATCCATGTCCGTCTTTCGGTCTGTCCGTATGAACGTATGAATTCTAGGGGTCTTCGCAGCGCAAATTTTTAAATCGAACCATTCATTAAAATTCATTCATTACTTTAACTGAGTAACGTGTAGTCGAGTTACTCTCTATCTTATTTATACAAAAAATAAAATAATATTTTATTTATTTTATAAATAAATAAAAAATAAATATATTTTTACTAAATTAAACTTTGCTATCCCCTTAGTTAACACTCAAAGAATTTACATAAAATAGTAGGGGAGTGTAGGGTAATTTGACGAGTAGGGTAATGTGACGAACTCTTCGAATCTCATATATGACGTCACGACAAAAATTCCAAATAAATGTAGTCGTCTCCCCTTATCGTGTCGACAATGTATTTACAGCAGCGGTCGGCAGCGTCCTATTAAGTGAGCATAGGAAATTGTTCTGCTCGAGCGCTGCCTCCACGTATACTGTAGAACAGCGGTCTGCGCACACACACTGTTAAGCCGCCCCGTACAATTTACTCACACAAATATAAAACAAAATGTAATTGTATGAGTGTGCCGACCGCTGATTTACAGTAATATTAATAAGAAGTCCCGTATTTTGTTCGTGAGGTAATTTTCGCTAAAAATGTGGTGCGCAAACTAGCAAACCCATATAATTTACATGTGTTTCAGCAGTGCCAGAGCAAAGATGAGTGGAAAATAAAATCAGGAAAATATATGCACGAATACATGAGATCTTTATCAACAGTTTTTGGTACCTCGCGTTTTTTTCTTTTGCGCCGTTTGAGAGTGACACCGTTTTTGCTCCAAGTCTACCTTGTAGTGACGAACTTTGTGTAGGGTATTGTGACGAACTTTTTTTATTCAAGAATTTTAATGGTTATCGTTGGTTATTTGTAAAAAAAATATAATAATACCAGATAACATTTACTGCTGCAGTTTTATTGTTGTTTTTAATAGTGACGTCAGTTTATTTCAGGGAACGAAAATAACTGTTATTGTAAATTTTTTATACAAAAAATTACGCACTTAGAAGGGTCCTAAAATTTTTTTAAATACACCACAATTTTTATTAGCCATTGTAGTTTACAAATCCGTAATGATTTTTATTTTTTGATTTTTATAATAAAACTTAAAAAATAACTGTTATTTTTTGATTTTTATGAATAACAGTTATTCCCTTGACATTTTTGAAAATATGAAATAATTAAAAAAACATGATACCCGTGCTTTATATAACTTACTAAAAATTTGTTAAAAAAGGCAACCGCGCATATTTTATACCTATATTTTTTTAAAATTTTTTTTACCCACAAAATCGCCATAAATCAAGTTTGAGTTTTATTTTTGATCACGACAAATAACTGTTATTTGTCAACTTTTATTATAAAACTCAAAAAATAACAGTTATTCTTTGAGTTTTACTTTACAAATCAGAAAATAACTGTTAAAGTGTGATTTTTAAAATAAAACTTATAACAGTTACGTTCCCTGGTTTATTGAATTTAAAAAAAAATTTACACTTTGACCATTTTTTTTTTGTAAGTTTGGGTATTATCTTATTACTTTTTTCTTTTCCGTATTGAAAATAACCTTTCCGTAAATAATATATAAAAAAATGTATTTTTTTGTTTGTAAAAAGAATGGCTTACACCAAACGCTGTGGGATTTGGCTACGTTGAAATTTCGAATCCAAATTTTTTTAGAAATATGCTCAGTAAATGTAAGCAACTTTCTGCTTTTACACTTTTAAAAAATATTGATTTTTGGAGAAGTTACATTAAAGAACAAATCGTTCGTCACATTACCCTACAACTTTTGATAGTGCAAAAAAAGGAGGGTTCACGCCAAACGCTGTGGGATATAGCTGCATTGGAATTTCGAATTTCGAATTTTACAGGGATATGCTCAGTAGATGTAAGCAACTTTCTGCGTTTACACTTTTAAAAAATATTGATTTTTACAAAAGTTACATTCAAAAAACGAATCGTTCTTCACCTTACCCTACACTCCCCTACATATATAAAAGCAAATGCACATTAAAATGCAAATCTTAAAATGTAAACAAATATAACATACAAAAGAAAACATTCAGCAACATTAGCTGAAACCGCGATTTCATATGTGGGACCATTATTGACATAATTTGCCATTTGATAACACAAAATCCAGACTGTTAGAGAATTGTTAAGCCATTTAAGCCATTAAAGCTTTGCAGCTTACACACTCGGACATGTAAATTGAATATTTGGGTATATATGGGACTTACCTTTTTGGTCTGTCCTTTCCTTCGATTGGAAAATTAGTTGATTTGCCTGTATCAGCGACGACATTTGGGGAAAACTGATTTGCTTCATTTAAGGGCAATGAAATATCCAGTTTAACCAATTGCTCCAAATTGGGTTGCGACTGCGAGGCGAAATGTACGTGGTATACTTATCATGTGTTTTTATAATTGCGTTAAAACATTTTAAAAACATGTGGCTACATCTCAATCGTTAGCCCATGATTCAATTTATTAGTGTACTTATTATTTTACGAAAATTATCGAAATAGTTAATCGCGACTACAGGAAGACATTTTAAGCGTTCTAGATCTGTATTTAAAGTAGGGATTTGAATTTACCTGTGGTTCTCTGTTCCATTCGTTATCAGTGGTGTCCTCTGAGTCATCAAACTGGCTCTTCCATTGGGACGCCAGCGTGAGGGCTCCGCCTTTGGTAACCTGTTGCAATGCAGAGACATTCTCGTCGTCTATCAAAGCAAATTGGGTGACCGAATGGTCACCTGCCACGCTGCTTCTGGCGGTGTTGCTTCCAGTTCCAACACCTCCACCGCCCGTCGACCCACTATTGATTCTTTGAACTGAACTTGTGTTTGCTCCAGAGGAAGATGGCCGTAAGTTGGTTGATGTTGCCGAACGGCGATTTACTGGCGGCATGACAGCCATCCCAAAGATTTGACCGTGCTGGTTGATGGAGAATTTTGAGGACGAGCTGTTCCCGGCGGCGAGGCCAGCATTGGTGCTAGTAGCATATTGTTCTTGCTTCACTGATAAATCAGGCCCTTGCGGGCTATGGCCCCCACCCCCTGTTAGGTCATGTACACTCATTGGAGGAGCTGTGAGGACACGGAGGCGCCCAAAAGTTGATTTCTGTTCCTCAGATGCCCGCTTGGCCTCAGAACCCTTATCGTTTGTTTCTGCTTCTGGTTTTTGCAATGCATTATTGGCGGACTCCGGTGAATTCATTTTTTTCACTTGCGACTTTTGCTGCGGTTCGACCCCGCACAGGGAAGGTTTACTAGCACTCTCAGTGGCATTTGTGTTTTTCGGTTCAAATAAACTCTTAGCAGCGACGTCAACTGTACTTTCGCAATCGGCATTTGGTTTCGTTGGTAAAAACTTTGTTGGTGCTTTATCTTCCAACTGTGGATACTGTAGGTAAAATTATTAACTAACCAAAATGTAGACTTTTTTAGGACTTACAGAATTTCCGTACACCGGCGCAGAATTGTTTTGGTTCGTTGTTGAAAACGATCCAGCCCCGTTTTGGGGTTGCGAGGTCTTTGAATTAATTGCTGACTGTGGAACCATTACCTGCACATCGTGGCCTCCTATTCCCACCATTGGAGACTTCATTGAAGCACTTTGGACATTTGGTATTGCCGCTTGGGAGTTTGTGGCTAACGTAGACTGCTGTTGCAGCATTCCTTTTGGTGTGATGTTTTGATTATTTGCTGCATAACCATGTTGTACGTTGGCATCGCCAGATCCTTTTGGTTGAGGTGCTAGTGAGGTTGCGTTGCAGTTTCTATCAACCTAAACAAAAAAGGCATTGTTTAAAGCAGATTACTTAATAATTATGTACAATTTTCTGCACTTACTTTTTCCTTTATATGCAAGGGCTCGGTCGCTGTAATATGAGCGGTTTCGATATCAGCTCTCTTTCGCACCTATTTGATAGTTAAAAATACCATTTTTACATCATCATTACAGGTACGGAAAGCAAAACAAATTGAACAAAATCATCACCATTTATCCAATTACTTTATCAAAAGTACATTATTTTAGTTTTAAAATAATATTAAAATATAAACTATTTTTTGTGTAGAGTGCCCCGTTATGGGAACTTACGTATTCCGTTCCGCTGGCGTTAGATGCTGCCACAGTCATTTGTGTTATATTTCCGTGCATGTAATCGTTTTTAACAGGAACTGATGGATTGCCTGCTGTTGTACTTATGTTGCCAATAGCCGCGGAATCCACTTTTTCCCAGTCATAAGGGTCAGACTCCTTGACGCCGCGTCTTTTCATACATCGCTCAAATAAACCGATGAGCATCTATAAGTGTTAACCATTTTATTTTCATTAGGAATTTCTTAATTCGGCATATCTTTAACTTACCGCGTAGTCCGGTCTGTCTGCATAGGTAAGAGATTGAATATGCTCTAGAAATTGCTTTAAGTCTGACGGCAAATGTTTTAACAGTATTCTGTGGTCATACTTTTCCTTTGTCAACCCAACTTGTTCCTTGTCTTTTATTTTTCGCCATGGCAGTTGCCCATTTACGAATTCTACGAGCATATAGAACAAAGACCACAGATCGTCGTGACGTCCCATTTCCCTGTTGCGATGTGCATTAATAGAAGCATAACGAACCGTGCCCCGAAACCCAGCTGCTGCTCTTGGACACCGAACCTCTCCGGTACCAGTGGTGTACTGACGCGCCAATCCAAAGTCTAGCATATAGACGCGTCGACAATTATAAGGCAAACGACCCACGGAGAAGTTGCTCTAAAATGAAATAAATAATTAATTATTCTGCGTGATCATACCGAAACATTTAAAGTCGAAATTAACGAAAGAACTATTACCGGTTTAATATCACGATGAAGAAATCCCACAGAATGTATAGATTCAATGGCCTTTAGAATTTGTAACCCTAACCTAAGTGTTGTACTAAGCGAAAATGCGCCTCGCGGCTGAGCCCGGCGGAGCTCAGCTAAATTCTTCCCTTGAAGCTGCATCACCACATAGTTAAATCGATCATTTCGTCCACATCCGATGAATCGACATACGTGCTCCTTTCCCTGTAATTTCTTTAGAACGGCGACTTCCATTTTAAGGACCTGCTTGGGCTGCCGCGCGGACTCAACTTTAAGTGCGACCTGCTCTCGTGTTATAAGGTCTTGTCCCTCGTAAATTTCTCCAAAACCGCCTCCACCGATTTTACGCACCACCTGTATGGTAAAAAAATTAATTTTAATGTGATTGCTTTGCAAACTGATAATTGACATTAAAAGATTAAAAGAAAACGTGCACAAAAAAATAAAATAATTATTTTTATTGCACATCTAAGCACAATATTAGTTTATCGGTAATACAATACTATTTATTCAGAAAACTTCTTATTTGTTATTTTTATATTTAAGTTTTATAGAGATTCCATCGAATATATGATTTATTTTATTTGCATATTTTTTAAAATAAGCTTATTTATTTATTTATTTTAGAATCCGCCGGGTGTTCAATTAGGTGTTAAAACTACCTACATTACCTTAGCGGTCAAACATTGTCTACCCTTTACTTTGGCTATTATTAATGTGTACTATTTTATAGAATCACTGTAACTCACGTACTGACTAATTTTCTTAAATGTGCTCTTAAGGTCGAGTTTTTTTCATTAAATTGCCGTACTGCAAGTTTAGTCCAATTGCAATTATTTACAAACCAAACCACATTTTACTATCCCAATTTCTCGTCCACATGTTAAACTAAAAGTACGTTTTAAGTGTACAAAATTAATGGATTAAGCGTTTAAAAAAACTTGTATATTAACATGCCGACAGATTGGACTAAGATTGCATATTGTATGGATACCTGCGCAGCGGAAGTTGCTACAGACGAGTGCCACGCCCAATTTAACGCCCACAAAGAAATTATTTAGCGCCAACAAATTTTAACTCATTTACCTAAAAAAAATGTATTTTTAAATGTTTTTGATTATATTTGTTTTTTTATTTTCTTCGAGATCTACAGGCAAATTTATCTAAGAAGAAGTTATAATTTGTAAGATATAACTAAGGTTTAAAAGCCGTGCATGGTCTATGGTGTCACTGGCCTGTGCTAGGTACCGTTATACGGTAACAACTTCGTAAGCATCAGCCTATAACTAAGTAGGAAATGTAACATATTTTAATCTTATGGATTGTAATAAGTCAGAATAGCCTCTCTTTAGATATGAACTATTACTACGCGAAATATCTAATTATTCTTGGGCTACAATTGAATTTTGGAAAAAATTTATTGTATAAATAATTACAAATTAATCATATAATATTGAGATTATTTAAATATTATAATTACTTGCAATTATAATACACTCGGATGATCCATATAATCTAATCTATAACCAATAACTACACCTCCATATGTACATATATATTAAATTCAAAACACACCTTCCAACGTTCCTTTACAACATGGCCCGGCTGCAGCAAATCTTCGGAAGTCATTTTGCAAGATTCCTTCTCCTTGGGACCTACCACGATTCTAGCCTTTTCGGCGGCAGCGACCTGATTTCGCGGTGAATCAGGATCTGGATCGGGATCAGGTGCAGGGGTTGTGGACGATGGCACTTTGAAGGTCACGCGGCTGCGAACCCCTAGGCGGTTGTGCTTTGCTGGCAAAGTGGCCGACCGCTGCAGGACATTTGGGTATCGGTACTCCTCTAGTGCATCTGCGTCTACTGCATTTGCGCCCGGGCTAATGTGCTGTAATAGACGGGATTGCAGGATGGCACCCGCGAGCGGCGGCGGTTTTGATGGCGGCGGGGGATGAAGCCTTAACAGGTTCTTCTGGCAACCTCGGCTAAGACTTATGTACTGCTCCTGGTTGGAAGGAGGCTGACATGTGTGATTACCGTCGTCTGGCGCAGATGCATTTTCGTCGTTTCTGGGAAATTAGAAATGTATGAAATGTAATGCCTTTTATACATGTGTGTATATCTCGAGCGTTTGAGAGAGACTTACGGACTTACGAGACATCTTCTCCACTCTTACTCACAACATTCAACATTTAATTTATTATGGCATAATAATAATAATAATAGAAACATCGATGTTTTTATAAGTTTTGAACACATTGATGTTTGTTTTTTATCATCGATGCTTTTTGTTTTAAAAATGTCTTGTACATTTTTTAATGTTTCGAGTATTCCCTAAGCTGTTGAATTGCTGAATCGTTGAGTTTTGGTCAGCTGTTAATCAGCTGTTCCATACAAAGTCAACTTCCAGGAAAAAACAGAGCTGTCACCTCATTTTACTAAAAGTCATTGCAAGACTTTACTATCATAAGTTCGAGTTACTTTACTTTAAAATCAAATTATGCCGTTTCCTCACTGATGTACATTTTCTAGTATTTTTTTGGTATTCAAATGCAATTTCCTGACCGTTGTGCTTTGCTTTTAAATTCAAAATAATCAAATGCATTGACGATGGACAATAAAAATGTGATTGTTCTATTAAGCTTTTGCTTGCATATTTAGCGTTATCTTTATTGTTTATTAAGCTATGCATGCACATAAGATATTTTTTGGGATCATTGTTGATTTTGCAATCCTTTGGTGGTCCTAGTGCAATAATCGATTTGGTGGTTTGTTGCCTCTTACTTCCTGTCACAAATCTGAGGGGCAAAAGATTGGTCAGCTTTTGTTAACTGCAGTTATACGACATTTTTTTCTGCAGAGAAATCATCTATAGTGGGCCTTGATTATTTCGAGAATCTTGCGATGGTCGTTTTGTCGATAGTTAAAAAAAACTCAGATATTTGGTATTTTAAGCACGAGAATATCAAAATTTATTAGCATTTATTGTCGTATGCTATTTTCTTCCACCTCTACAACCACTTGAAAATATTTGGAAAAAAAATGTAACATACCAAAAAATGTCAAAATGCTACATTCAGCTCTGGTGAGGAAACGGCATAAGAAAGTCTATTAGTAGTTGTTCTTACCTTGCTAACAATTTTAGACTGTAAGAAGCAATTAAAAATCGAGTTTTACTCAAGGCAAGCCATTTAAAAATGCATGCAGTAAAAAGAGTATTTAAAATAACCAGTAGGAAAAATCAAAATGTAAAAATGTATGAATTTTAATTTAAAAATGATTTTATTAGAGAACCTACATTAAATGAATACTTTATTATACCCGTTACTCGTGGAGTAAAAGGGTATATTGTATGCGTGCAAAAGTATGTAACAGGGAGAAGGAAGCGTTTCCGACCCTATAAAGTATATATATTCTTGATCAGGATCACTAGCCGAGTCGATATAGCCATGTCCGTCCGTATGAACGCTGAGATCACGGAAACTACAAAAGCTAGAAGGTTGAGATTTTCCACACATTCCACACAGCGCAAGTTTATTTCAGCCGACACGCCCCCTCTAACGCCCACAATCACCCATTAACGATTTTTAAATTTGTCTGGCGCCGACACCTTTGAAGATTTTCGAGAAGTATAAATGCAATTTTGTTGGGCATATTTATACCTATCGAAATGTAGAAGACATTTTTCAAATCGGACCATTCAATAAAAAGTTATACGCAATCAAAAAAATGTTATATATCCATCTCCCTCGCACTCCCTTTTGCCGAGTGACGGGTATCAGATAGTCAGGGCACCAACCCGACTATAGCGTTCTCTCTTGTGTTTTTATATTTTTATTGGGCGCTCTGATCACGGGTCAACCTAAAAAATGTTAAGAACGCTACAGAAAATGTAATTCGTCCCCTGGCAAAAAGGAATTATTTAAAGTGATTTCCATTTTCCCGCCAATTTTCAGCTGAGAAACACCTGAAAAGGTTACATTTTTCCTGTTCCTCACGGCATTGATTCACTAGTTCAAATTTTGCACGAACACGCGGCTAACGGTAGAATTTAGGTATTTCCTTAGCTGAGTACCGCGGTGAAAAAAGCCCTAGACGAAAATGGTTTAGCCACCTATTTGCCACTCGCTCTCTCCAATGGTTAGATTGCAGTTTTCGTCGATTAGAGTGCTTATTTGACTAACGGGTTGAGAAAATAACTCGATAAAAACAGCCGCTTTAAAGTGCAAAATCAGCTGATTGACAGTGCTCCTCGAGAGAACCGAGAGAATTATAAATGCAAACTGTGATTCTTATGGATTGTTTTAAAAGAACTGAGCGAATTATAAATGCAAACTTTTATTTATAAACTAATGCCTTTAGCTTATGGAAGAAAACTATGATATCGAAAATAAGTTTTTAAACATTAGCCGGTAATATAGAAGTTTTGAATTTTATCGATTTATGTTGTTAAATTGTATTTGAAATGTTGTTTTACCGTATTGTAAAACCATAATTATGTAATTTGTTCAATGTTTTTTATGCAAATAGCAAACATTATTTTTGTGTAAACATCGTGGTTTTCGGTGTCATAGGAACGTATTTTTGTTACTTCCACCCTTCACAAGAAAACACCCCCATTTTGATGACAGCTTCGAATTTAAGCCAAATAAAATACTTGAAGACATATACTACATGTTTTTGACCAGGATTGATTTCGTTAGAAGATATTGATCTAAAGTCCACTTAAAAGTCCAGGCCCAAAAGTTTAATTCTTAGTTACTTGAACCTCAGGCAAATTAGATGAGGGTAAAATGTATATATGTAAAACAGGAAGTTCAGCCCTTTAGCAATTTTCACGCTCACCCCTTCTGGAAAATTTGGCTGCTGTAAAAACTGAGTTTATTCTAAATACATTTTTACCTACCAAGCAGACACGGATTCAACTTATTTGTTTTATCACAAATATTCTTTAAACACTTGCAGAGAATATAATGGTTCACAATTGTCAAACTTTTTGATCTACGAAATCGTTTCACTGGTGGTGCATAACAGGATTGGAAATATGCCTCGATTTCCTTTCACTTTGATTTCTAAATTCCGCGAACGCTACACCGACACAAAACTATTTAATTTACATATGATTTGTTTGCTATTGTATATCTAAGTATTTTCACGGAAATAAAATACAAGTATCGATTTGTGAGCTTCTGTAATTGAACTCAAAGCCAGCTGACAAAAAGCTATATTTTCCAGGCGGGGATTGCGCATGCTCCTTAATTGTGATGCGGCAGGACCTATTCGATTTGAAGGCTTTTTATCGAATAACAACGGTCGATTGTTTATTTTTGTAAGTTTATAGGTTTATAGAACCAACTTAGAACATACCTGAGGTAATCCTGTAAATGCATGTTGGCTGCAATACGGGTTGCTTTAGACTTGGTTATTGTGGAACTTTGTTTGCATATATGTGTGCTCTGTTTTCACTTTTTTGCCAGGGCCTAAAATATTGCGAAGACAAAATTATACATTTTATTGCTTTGCGTCTGTATGCTCACACCTTTAAGAACAAATATGTATGTACACTTTTTTAAATTTGATTTTGAAAAAATTATAATATATAATACAGTGCTCACTCGAATAAAATAACACCCTGTTCATTTTTGTAAGAGGGAAACAGATATTCATGATGTAACTATCTGTACTTTATTTTTTGACTTTACAGGGAGCTGTATTATACAGAGAGGACACTTAGCTCTTATTAGTATTATGTTTTTTTAAATGCACTATATATTTAAACGTATTTTAAAAATCGATAAATACATACATGCGCGTACGAATAACCATGTATATGTATTTAATTATATAGCTTACTGCATCGCGCGGATATACTTTATTTATGAATTCGTTTATTTACGTTAAGTAGGCAAGCGTGTGGTTTCTTAGCCTATTTTTATATTCTGATTTAATTATAGAGGAGTTCAATACGAACTTCGAATGAATATCACTGTGGAATTCACGTGATCCGATTTTATAAGTACATATGTACATATACATATGTGTCACTACTTCAAAGTATTTTTAAAATTATCACTTCTTAATTCATTTATTAAGTTGTTCACGAAGGTTAGAAAGATCAACCACAATCGTTTTAAAATGTATTATTTTAGGGATTTTAAATAACTTTTTTCGTATTTATAAAACATTTTCTTGCGCAAAATCATGAATATAGTCGACAAAAGCTTTATCTTAAAACGAACATTTTCTTTCACCGAAGACTTCCCACTGATTCTTTTCGGCATTTCTGTGCATCATATGGTATTCATGTACAGTGCCAAAAAAAAGACTACCCATATGCTTGGCCACTGGGCCAGTTGATCCGATTTTTGGCCAAAAACAGGTTTTTTTTTGAGAATATTACCAATCTAAGTTTGAGGTCCTTTTTATAATACATTAAACTAATTTATGCCAAAGTTTCAAAGAATTCGGTCAAGTAGTTTTATTTTACGTGTTTTCAAAGTGGAAAATTCATCAAATATTGATGGAACTAAAAAAACTCTAGAAGTTAAAGATGCTAATGCAGCTGTTAGACTTCTTTACGAAGCTTTTAGATGTGATTATTTTCAACAAATAAAAAATATAATATAGCTCGTATGTCTTACTGGTTTCCTAAAATAAATTTAATTGTTGATTTTTACGGTTTTTTTACTTTGCTTTTCGAGTGCCTTTGAGTGCCAGACCCAAATTAAGTCATTCCTTAAAAAAAATTCTTTGATCAGTTTACTAAAAGCGCATACCGCCGACTCGATGCTGTTTTGCCTTACTTTTCGGTAATCGTTTATTTTAAATAAGTAATTCCATTTCAATAAATTTCCAACATTTATATATTTCATGTATGCAATACTTTTTTTTTGGTTTTGCAGTCGCATGCAAAAATACAACAATTTTGTAATATTTGGGAGGTACTTAAATGTTAAGCATTTCTTAAGGGTTGCTAAACTTAAATAAAATTACGAAAATAAAACTTAATATTTTTCAATTTGAATGATGCAGATCTTAGGATGTTATAAAAAAATTATACAGAAATTTTTGAATAGATAAGATTTCATAAGTTATTAAAAGTTATCAAGCTATCCCTGATTTTTTACGAAATACCATGGTTCGGTCAGGTAGCAGTAATATGGGTCGAACGTAGACTTTCACCCGTCGCTGTATATAGTATACGCATAGTCGAACTGAGTGTATGGGTGCATAACATAAACAAGAACGAGAAGCTATCTTTAGTCGGACAATTTTCGAGATAATTTGTCCAACAAAAGAAATATTTAAAAATGTAGGAATATACTTTTTTTCTGATCTAACTGGTAACGAGAATAGGGCCTTCAATTTTATTTCGACTTAATTAAATCAAAAAACAAGAAAGGAAGCTACCTTTGGCCAGCCGAAGCTTATATACCCTTGTAGATAAAGTAATGCTTACACGGTGCAGTTCCAGGAATTCCAATTTTGTTTTTAATTAGTCAAGAATCAAAACGCCTACTTCCTACAAAGTTACAATGAATTTTCTTATATTTGTTTGAATTTTCCTATGGGAGCCTTAAGATATAGTGGTCCGATCCGGCTCGCTCCGACATATGTACTACCTGCAATAGAAAGAAGACTTTTGGGAAAGTTTTATCGCGATAGCTTTAAAACTGAGAGACTAGTTCGCCTAGAAACGGACAGACGGACAGATGGACAGACGGACAAGGCTAGATAGACCGGCTATTGGTGCTGATCAAGAATATATATACTTTATGTGGTCGGAAACGTCTCCTTCACTACGTTGCAAACATCTGACTGAAATTATAGTACTCTGTACAAGGGTATAATGACATTTTTTTAACAATTGAGATCCGTTTTTATTCATATGTACATAGGTACATATTATTAATACATAACATAAATTGAATGCAAAAGAAAATTGAAGAAAAGAAAAAGAAAGAAAAATACATGGTTTGTTTTGCTGTTAAGTATTTTAAAACTCCTTATCTTTCGAACTCCATAATCAGAATTTAAGGGCGAAAGACAGAAAAGAAAACATATCCATAAACGTAAACTATACAGGACCTGGCGGCCACAACTTTACACATTTTGTAAAATGTCTAGCATTTTATTCTATCAAAATTTCGCAAGTAAAACTGCTTTACGATATTTACTATAGCACTGCTAGGAGCAGTAGCCGTATTAATATAGAATGCTCTGCTCCAAAAATCTATAGCATTTCAAAAATGCATATATAGCTATATCATGGCTAAAAATGTCCATTTTGAATTAGGGCGCCATTCATTCTTCCTGGTCTGGTAGCTCCCATTTCTCCCATTTTTGTTTGGTCTGGTAGCACCAATCTCTCTCTTCATTCTGCTCCTTTATGATTTAAATTTTCTCGCCATTTGGGGCCGAATTGAAAAATGTATAATGCAAAATTGTTTAGAATTAAAATATCCATCGATCTATATAGGTTGGGGCCAAATCCCATTCTTAGGGTCTGGCAACGCCCTCGAAATAAATGTTAAGTTAATGTAATGTTAAAAAAGTCCACCACTTTTAACATTTTTGTGGAGGAAGTTTTTTAACATTACATTAACCGTTAACGCAAAAAAACTGGTAACAGTAAATCACCACTGATAGATGGCGCTCTGAAGGGAACTAAAGCAGTCTTAGCCACCTATTGGCAGTAAACGAAACTACTAGTAGATGTAGGTGTCGTGCAATATGGAAGCTATTTATATTGCAGCTGTAGATGGCGTGTTGTGAAGCGGTTATTGATAGTCGATATTTGATAGTAAATCTATAATAATAATATATAAAATCTATAATAATAATAATATAATCACTATAAAAATCTTACTTTTAAAACGCGGAAAATCGTAAGATTTGACCCGTAAATGTTTCCCGGGGGAAATATTTTTTGAAAATCAGCAGTGCTTAAAGTTTCAACAGATGGCGCTAGAAAAAATTCAAACACGGTTAAGTTAATGTAATGTTAACTTTGGCTATTTTATTACAAGAATACTGCTTGTACTGCTTGCTGTTATACTGTTAAACGGCAGCACAAAATTAATTATACCCGTTACTCGTAGAGTAAAAGGGTATATTGTTTTCGTGCAAAAGTATGTAACAGGGAGAAGGAAGCCTTTCCAACCCTATAAAGTATATATGTTCTTGATCAGGGTCACTAGCCGTCTGTCCGTCTGTCCGTCCGTCCGTCTGTCCGTCCGTCTGTCTGTCTGTATGAACGCTGAGATCACGGAAACTACAAAAGCTAGAAGGTTGAGATTTCCCACACATATTTTTGGGCTTCTTAAGCAGCGCAAGTTAATTTTAGCCGAGCGCCACGCCCCCTCTAACGCCCACAATCCCCCCCTAACGATTTTAAAATGTGTCTGGCGCTCATACCTTTGAAGATAATTAGAGAATTATAAATGCAATTATGTATATTTATACCTATCAAAGTGTAGAAGATATTTTTCAAATCGGATCATCAATTAAAAAGTTATGCGCAATCAAAAAAAGATTATGTATCCATCTCCCTCGCACTCCCTTAAGCCGAGTGACGGGTATTAGATAGTCGGGACACGAACCCGACTTGTTTTTTATTAATAATGGGAAATTTAGCTGTCTTAGCCACCTATCGTCAATTTTTAGAGATTTAGCGAAAAACAGTGTTTTTGCCCTAACCTATTTAGATCGATAGATATTTTTATACTAAACAATTTTGCATCAAACATTTTTCAATCCGACTGCCAAATAGCGGGAAAATTGTAAAAATGGCACCAGTGTTTCAATTTCCATCGTTCCACCTTCGTTGCTAACTCGTTGACGCTAATTTGACGTACATGTAGTTATAGGCAAATTAATAAAAACATGCCGCCTTTGCAAAAAGGTGGCAGCACTGTCGTAAAAAATGTACGAAGAAGAAGAAAACATGAAAGTAATAGCCTCATCCCATGGAGTCCATCCGTGTGAAACGGTTGGGATTTTAGACAAATGTGAAACTCGTGTTCTCAGAGAGCACATCCACCATCCGATAACAGCTGACTTGAAAAGCAGTTACAATAAATAGCATAAGATAATAGTTAAAAAACATATCTGAACTTTTGCTGACGGGGGGGAGCCTAACCTCCCGAACCCCACACTCTGCTTTTCCTACGCCTCTGTCTAGCAAATATTACTATGGCAAATTTGTAAGCAAACCCAGAATTACTGTTGTGGTAATTTATAGCAACTTTGGAACATAGTACTCTTTTAATTAATATTAGTTATTATTTATGAAGTGCGGAATATATTCTGATACTTCGCTGCAAATATTGATGTTTTCGTTCACAAAACAGCTTACATTTTGGCCCACACATAGCAACCTGTTGGCGAATGCTTTTCCGCTCATAGCAATCTACAAATAATTAAAAAAAAACCAAAAAACAATGAGCTGAACCATTATTTAATTTTTTCCCGCCATCGATTTGATTTGTTTTTGCAGTCATCGTTCCAATTTTCCTCAGTCAAGAGGAAGATTTCAGAGTTGCGCCGAAAAAACATCGCCTAACTATCGCATAAAAGAGCCCGTCAAAGTCCGTCAAAACTGGATGGCAAACTGGGAACGGCAAAACCTTACGGACCATCCGTTCAACGGATGGCGGAATGATCTCTGTGGGAAGACCCTATAAAAGTAAACAATTTTTGTTTACTATTAATTTAAACTAATAAGCGTTGCTAATTTTCAAGAGTAAACGTAGGTCAGCAGCACAAAATTACATATTCTTGCGATTCATTCGCGAAAATGTCGACATTGCCAAAGGATTTTCTCAGGGCGGCCGCGTTCTTGTGACCACTGCTTGGAAGGACCCATGGACTACCATGCAAAACCGCTTCTAAGGATTCTCCTCTAGAGCAAGAGTTCGTGTAGATGGCATTTTGGTTTGCTTTTAAAATTCTTCGTCCTTTTGTTAAATTTAAAGTATGGTTAAAGAGAGAGATTTAACCCTACTTTAAATTTACCAGGCGGACGAGAAAACGGCCCTAAATAAACCAACGCAGCCGCTTGAAACAGCTGTTCAGGGATGCAATATGTAGCCTGGCGGGTAATTCAAATTTTTAATTTTTATACCCTTGCAGAGGGTATTATGATTTCAGTCAGAAGTTTGCAACGCAGTGAAGGAGACGTTTCCGACCCCATAAAGTATATATATTCTTGATCAGCATCACAAGACGAGTCGATCTAGCCATGTC